TTGTAGACAGGGCCGTCCTATAGGGGGCGTGAGGGGTAACATCCCCCTTGAAAAAAATCTGTCAGCAAGTTTTTGAATTTTTCGGCAAATAAAAGATTGCTCACCCACTGTGTCGGCGAATGGGACCTGGAAACCCCCTTTGAACACAATAGCTAGCGACAACACTTCTTCTAGACAACCAGGTTCTCTCTCCAGCCAGAAACGTTCCCTGACAATTTACATGCAGCATTTGCCTCTAATATTTAGATGTCAAAGAAATCAGAAATGTATTAATATTGGTTTTTTTATTTAACTAAATCTTTAGCATCTGCATGGATATCTAACTATTAATCGGTATCAAAATATTGAAGAGACGCGACGAATGTTAAACCATTCCGGGATATCTGGTTTGCCTAATGATGAAACCCCTCTTGTGTTGTCTTCTTGTACCCTGGGTGCCAGAGTCTCTATTATTTAATCTCAGAAATATAGTTCAAAACTAGTCACAGGGTTCCCTCCGCTGCACCACTCATTATTTGCCACCACAGCCGTCTACAACACTTTATCCCCGGATTCATAAAGCAGCCTTACTCAGGATTCTGTTACTCAGGATAGCCTTCTTAAAGCCACGTTTAAAAAGCTAGAAAAGCAAATACTTAAAAATCATCATGACCCCTAGACCCCTTAAGCCACTTTCTTATATGTCGTGTGTCTGCAGGGCCATTGCGATTAGGGACAGAATCTATGGCAATTACACCAAAGGTGCCATGGACAGGGACCGCGGAAGTGCGGGGGACTTTCCAATAATTTCCAAAATGTACTTATAACAATACAAAAGACGCCTTTCTCTTAGTTTTAAGCATACTTAGGCCCCCAAACCTTTAAGCCCCTTCAATCTTTAATATACTACGCCGTTAATGGCCGTTGATGAGGAGGGGTGGGTGTGTTTAGCTGCCCCCGAATGACAAGCGAGCCTGTGTTTGGTTGGAATTCTATTTTGGCAACCCTATATTATGCTACAGATCTGGAGACAGTGAATCATTTGGACGATTTCATATACAGAGAACTTTGAAATAAATGCATGTATATTGACTATGATGATTGGTTGTAAAGCCTTTAGGAGTTAACGATTGAAGATTGAAGATGATCGGTGAAGTTATCACAACCCCTCCCCCCTCAACCTTTTAGGACGGCATCCCTGAGTCACACGATCAACGACCGCGTGTGGCAACTAAAACAAAATAAATTTAAGTTCCAAGCAGGGCGGTAGAAGAGGGGAGCCTCAGAGGACTGCGCCCCTCCTCTTTTTTCTGGGTGCCAGTGTCACATCTTGGATTGAACCGATATTAATTTTTGACATTTGCATTCATGTGTACTTCAATAGCCCTCTTGATCACTGAAAACTCAAAAAAAGCTGGCAAATATTTCTACTTTAAATTCTTTGTTTTCAAAATTTTTCTACTCAAGTAACAGGTAGACATTGGGAAATGATTAAACCCTAGAAAAGTGGAAGTGTAAAGAAATCGATGTTGAGAAGCCATGCAAACGATAAACAACTAAATCGTTCATTTTGCATACGATATAGAAAAAGCTCTATCGCCCCCCTCTACATTTTTTGGCTCCACACTACTGGCTTTAATAGTTTTTATCGCTTTTGTGGTTTTCATGAGGATGGTTTCCATAGCTTGAGGGTATTGCCCAGAGGAAAAATACTTTGAAACAGTGTTTATCAAATCATTTTGATAAGTAATGAAGAGAAAAAACAACCATAGAACAATGCTTTTGGAAAGAGCAAAAAATCATTTAATGGCGAGGATCATTTGTTTGAGAGGAGCAAATAAATGTTTTGTCCTTCATAAAGGCCATAAGATCTGCTCTCTCTCTCGTCTTCTTTATTCCAGCAAAAATAAGCTTTGTTCCTGGTTCAAATCTCTTTGGATTTTTGAGAAAGTTGTACTTGTAAACCAACCATGCAATGCTAGACTTGTCTTTTTTCACTTGGCAGTGACCGTACCTTGCAAAATATCTCTTGTAAATCTTGCTTCCTCGACGCAGATTACCTTTACTAATTTGCGATAATGGTCCTGAAACTTCACGATTGCAGGATTCAGGACCACTATAAATATGACCCTGCTTGTTAACGAGATCATCGCACCTGCGGCACCGGTAACAAAAGCAAGGAATCTTTTTAACCTTATATTCCACTCGAACTCGAAACTTATAAAATACCTTGTTGAAGTCATGGCCTGGTTCTCCATCGTCATATTGTGTGTTATAAAACAACCTCTGGTACAAATTCGTTGGTTTGGTACAATCCCATCGCAGCATAGCGTTTATCTTCAAAGTGACTTTCAAGACCCCAAGACCGATACCGCGAATTCTCACTCTAACAGTAGATTCAGAATTCACTAATGTTACCCCGTATTTTCTTTTGGTATCAAACACGATACGCACTGGCTGAAAGTCGACATCCAACAACAATTTCGCCCATGTCGGCATGGGTATACGATAGTGTAGGACGATACTTATAGGGTCCTTGCAGACTGAAATGCGAACTTTGAGAGGCTTTCCGTCTATTTTAACCGGTTCCACGCTGCAATAATCGGGTGTCTGATAACAGTTTCCCCTTTTAACTACAGGCAGGCAAGCCAAAATATACATGTGCTTGTTGAGAATAGCGAGCCACTCTGCAACCTCTGTTGGCATATCCTTCCATTTCATGATTTTGCCAAGCTCAGTTTTTACTTGCCTGACATCATTAATGCTGACTGAACGAGCCGTTCTTGTTGATTTTGCTTCCATGCAAATAAGAGAAGCTACCAGAAACATTTTAAAGTGAATTGCATTCATGTCGATCGTTGCAATTAGACAGCAACTTTTATTTAACAAAGAATAGATAGTATTCTCTATTATGTCGTTCTTATTCTAACAAGAAAGCGCATCGAATTACCTTGCTCTTGTAACCTAAGATCCAGGGATGTCATAGCGATTGATTTCCAGGGGAAGAGGGGAGGGGCAAAGAAATGAATGTCCCGATAACTTTGGGTAGAAGAGCACGAGAAGAGTTTAATTTCAAACAATCTTTTGGTGGTACAAAACTTGAAAATGGCTTTGAAAGAAGCAAACATTTAGTATACTAAAGCTTTTTGTCTGACACTCTTCAGAGTTTAAAACGTCAGAACATAGATCGAAAACTCTACACTAGGAAATATATATACCCAGTTGTGGATCGAAATAAACCAATCAGAAATGCTAGCACATTACTGTTGAGGTTGACCAATCAGTGCCGCTTGCCTATTTTTAGAAGGTTACCAATGGAGTCCTAAGGTGAAAACGAACTCCTTTTGTCTACACAGTAGCGGTTTTTCGTGCCTATGTAGATAGATTCCAAAACTGCTAGGTGGAACGACGATCAGGCTTTATCAATAATCCGAACATTTCGCCATTATCGTTTTTTGCACAATCTGGGTTTTCCAGTAAATGCTGCCCGATAGCAACCTGCGATTCTGCTATACAACCTGCGATTCAACCATACAAAATGCATGCACGGGTTTGGTTTGACCGAAAAATAGAATTGGATATGGCACTGTTCCTAGTTCAGTGAATCGATGGTAGTATTGTTAAACAATTTTCCAGGCTTATTTTTATTTTGTTTTTGCAGCTGCAGGAATCATCACCAAAGTATATGGAAAGGCTGGAAATGTCAAGCGAAGAAAACTGCAAAATATCTAAACTTGACGACAAAAAGGAACCTTTTCCTAAAACAAGTGCACAAATGATTGGCTGGCGAGCTTCGAAAGTTTCGACACATACCTATGGAATTCCAGAATCAAGAGCAAGAGGGAAATGTGATGTCTTGCGCGTATTACAATGGCCACACGAAGGACTTTGAAACTCTTCAAACAACCGGAATTGCTTTCATGTAAAAGTAAGAGGAAACATTGAGCATTTTGCTGATATGATATGAGTATTTCACATATTCATGTTTAAAAGTAGAATGATTACAATCTAAAAAGTATTGATAACCTTTAATTGTTCAAAGAATCTCTCTCGCTTTGTCGTAGCTTTCTTGAATTTTACAGGAAGTGCTTTAATAGAAATGGAGTTAAATTTTTTCAGAATAGTAACATTCTACATGACCAGTAGGGAACAGTTCTGTAATTTGAATTGATCTAGTTCTAGCAAAAGCAACCTTGAATTTGGAACTCCACAGGGCTCATACTTGGGACCCTTGCTTTTTATGCTATATAGTAATGACTCTGAGAACTATCTGGGAAGCATAATCCCAAATATGTAGGCAGTTGATACAAGTGTAACTATTGCATCTGAATGAACTTCTACTAGACTCAAAACACGAAAAATATAAGCTGGAAAATACATCAAAACAGATGGAAAACTGCCTGATACTGTGCTCAAGAATGAAGTTATCAAAAAGGCTGAAAAGAAAAGATATATAGAAATCAACATTGAGAAAAGCTTTTATTGGAAACAGTAGTAGAAAAATCTGTCAAAAAATACAAATTGAAAGGGGGGCTTAATTCATTGGGAAAACTGAAAAATGTCCTTTTCTTAATGATTCCATATTTCTTACGAGTTTTGGCAAATTCAAAATTAGAAGCCATATCCCCTTTAAACTCAACATCAGCCACTGTTTTTTTCACTTACTGTGAAGAAAGGAGAAGGGAGCAAAATTTGTTGCATGAATTCAGGAGAACTGGGTTTACTGGTTTCAAGAATTTATTGAGCTTACAGATGAACGTTTATAAATCCATGCATATTGAATAAGTACAAAGCTTTATAGCTATGCAATGGATTATGTTCCTGTGTTTAAATTCTGTTATAGGACTGTTGCTGATCATCTTATTTGCCATGGAGCTGCTTGAATAAACTATGAATCATAGAATAATGACTGGCTATAATTTGTATAATCAATGTGCTATAATTTTGTCAAGGAAATTTAGCAACACGATGTAGATTAAAGAAAACGTTTTGAAGAAAAAATTCATGATATGACGACTGTCTGTTACAAAAGATTGGCAAAAATCACAAAAACCTTAATCCAATCCAAAAAGTGTCTTTTGTTATTGGTCTTTTTTTTATTATCTCGGATTCAATAGAATCTGGTGCTGAATTTGATCTTGCTAAATGTTGTGATTAAAAAAAAGAATAAAAACTATTACAAGATTCCAAGTACATGTTTTACTCTCTCATAAAATGGTATCATTTCTGGACATTTGTTGCTCCTACGCATTTCAAGAGCTTGAGGCATCCAATCTTCTATCCAGTTTGCTCTCCTCGAATGAGAGGGATGGGTAGAAAGCCACTCAGCTGGGCTTTGGTCTTCTTCAAGTTTATCCATCCTTTTCCAAAAATTTGATATTTTTCTAACATCAAAACAAGCTCTAGCTGCAAGGTATAGTCCAATACAATCAGCTTCTTTTTCTAAATCCCTCTGGTATGGTAAATGTATCAATATATCTTGTAACTTGCTTTCAAGAAGGTTCAAGAAAATGGCAATAGCATCTGTTGGAATAACAGTCCATAACAAAGTAATGATTATCAAGTTAAATATGCTTGCAAAACCACTGAAGCTCAATTGTTCTGCTGGGTGCTTTAGTAGGACATGAGCTATCTCATGACCCAATACGCCTGCTAGTTCATCATCATTTTGTGCTGCCTCTAGCATGCCAGTCATAACAAAAATTTCACCATTTGGAAGAACAAATGCATTTATAACATCACTGTCAACTACAATTATTTTCCATGACTTATTTGTAACTTCTGGACAGATATTGTTGTTAAGAATTTGTTTTGCTATCTTGGCCACTCTGATATGACTTGGATGATTGGCTGGTAAATAAGAGTCTGCTAAATCTTTACTCAAAGCAATAAATTCTTTCTCTGCTATTTCCTTGATTTGGTGGTCATTCATGATCATCAGCTGCTTTCTTCCAGTCAAATCATTCTCTTCTAGGTGGTAATTGTAATATGCAAAACACAGTCCTATTGTGCTGAAGACTATAATTATGATTTTGTCAGTTCTCCTTCGGACACCGAGAAAAAATATTTTTCTCTGATTTTCTGGTAAGCTTCTCCACCATTTACGAAGCTGTCTGCCCAGTAGAACTGCGCTAATGCGTGACAACGGAGAAGCTAGTTTGAGCAACAACGGGCCTATGGCAGGAATGGCATTGCGATACTGACTAGTGTGAAAAATCCTGTGTGTATTCAGAAGCAATGAAATTCGATTTTCGATCAATAGCCGCTTACCAAATTTACTGGAAGTTCTAAAACTGGTATAGGAAACTAGCACACAACTATGCCTGGTATGGGTTGCAAGTACACCGCCTTTTGAAGCTAGGCGATGACTCAAAACTATCCATTTCACGGGATAATTCTTGATATTGTATGAATTCTGCCATACTTGTCTGCCAAAAGTCCTAACAAGATGCATGTTCATTATATTTTGAAAGCAAAGCTATCAAACTGAACTATAAAACCAAAAAACCAAACCAAACAACGTCTTGAAACAGTAATCTCATTTTCATTCTGTTAACCTCTTCTCCACTTTAGAAGCCCTTTAGAAGCAAATGTTTTCGCTACAAATTCCTCAGTTCTTGGAAAACAGACACCGCTGAGCAGGGGGGACTTGGAGGGCTTTAGCCACCCACTTTTTGCCACAAAATGCAAAAATTAGCCTATGAATCGCCAGTCCAGCTTCATTTTATTTGGTTTTAGCCCCCCATATTTTTAGACCTCCCACTTTTCTCAAACGCTCCGCGGTGTCTGGAAAATTTCCTTAGATCTACGAAAACTTGCCTTTTTGCATGGGCTCCGACGCAGGTTGAAAAGTGGGGGGGGGGGGACCAAGGGAGATTTTAACAATAATAAAAACAGATTTTAAAAAAGCTCTGTTGTGTTTAAAAAAAGTGGGGGGCATGGCCCCCTGTCCCTTCCTGTTTTTATTGAAGATATTGTTAAAGTACGCTCCAGCAACTCTGGCCATATCAAAAAGTATCAAATTGAATACTACAGATTGACTACATGTTTCTACAGAGAGGATCTTTTAAGGCTTTTTTCAAACTCATCGAGTTTGAAAAAAGAACAGTTGGAGTGGGTCAAGTTCTCTTTACAGTTGCGTGTTCGTGGCTTTTCGTGATATTTCCTTATAGTTTGATCTAATAGTAGTTATTTCATTTTGCGTCGAAAAATATAATTTATAATCATTTTCAACATGGTTTATTGGTCCCATAGCCATATTGAATTCAAAGCTTTGGTCAGAAACAACCTTTTCTGACCTTATGAAAGGTTGGTTACGTACTCATCTCAAGTATTCTGTGCTTCTTCTAATTTGTCCATGTGAATAATAACTTCGCGGATAACATTTCTAGCTTCAGATAAAAGTCTGAAGAATGAACAATATCTTTTTGGAGATTTCCTCTAATGTTAACAAAACAGAACAGATGTTATCAGCAAATCAATCCTGCAACTTAAATCGTTTACAAAACAGTTGCTTAGTGGTCTTAGAAAGAATTCATAGTATAAAGATGTGGAACAATTAATGTAGATAAAAACATTTTATGATGTTATTTGATACTATCTGAGATGATATAAGCCAAAATTATTTGCGGTAAATTTTATGCTATCGGTATTTTTCCTAAACACGAAATACGAAAAGATGCATTTTTTAAACGCCTCCTTTGAAAGAGTGCCCCTAAAAATGTTGAAAAATTTGAAAGAACAACCAAGGCGTAATATGGTATCTTATCAGCTCTACAGTTCACTAGTCACTTGAGTTGAGTCAATGTTGTTATCAAATAGATAATTCTCATACAACATTGAAAGAGGTATTCAGTTATTTTGTTATTTCATATTTCATACTAGGAACCAAAGTTATTTCATATTTAAAACTAAAAGGCCAAAATTTTTACATCCCCCCCAAAAAATTCTCAATTATTCCATATTTTTATAAGACACTCGTTTTTTATAAGAAACTGGGTATAAGAAACGAGTACTAGACAGTCAGTAAAAATTGAAAAACTTCAGTACTCGAAGCAAAAAAATTGAGAAACTATTAAATCGTGATAAAACTGAGAACAACAATATTTTATAAAATCCAAGAACAAGATTGCCCTGTTGGCCTAGAATTTAAGACACAAGGGATACAAATATACTTCCCACATCTAAATACAGCATCGGAACAGACGCGATTCTCTTGACGTGATAAAAAGGGTCAGGAAAATTTCATAACATCATTCATGGCATCATAATTAAGAAACTCTTAAGAAACAATAAGTACTGAAATTTCCAGAACACTAAGAAACTGGAGTACTCAACATCGACCTTTGTTTCTTATAAAAAAATGAGTGTACCTCTTATAGAGGCACTGAACATCACATGAATCATTCTGAAAACTGTACGTAGTTACTTTGTTTATTATACCTATCCCTGGTGGAGACAATTTTTGCAAGAGAACCCCTAAGACACCATACTGGACTTCCAACAATTTCTTGGTGCCCCCATTTATTTTTCAAGTCAGGCCATCATGTGTCCGTCAAAAAGCGATCACATGACTTTGCAGATAAGGTCACGCGGGACAGTGCATCATCTGGATCTGGAACCCTCTAGGACAGAGTGAGAGTTCAGTTCGTAGAATTGCAAAATGCCACCCATAAATGCAGGCCAATCCGAAAAATCTGCAGAGGAGGATCCATTGATTATAAGTGGCAACAGCAAGGAAATTTCAAGAAGTCAAAGCTACCAAGGAAATTACGGGTATGACTCGCGCTACGGGGCGGCAATCGTCCAAGATACTGTTGAAGATCCCACAATCGAAGTTTCAGGAGCACCTAAAGACGACCGACTCGAGTAAGTCTGCTTTATTTTGCATTTGTGATTCTTAGTTCCAGGGTTTCCAATTGAATATCTTACCGATCAGACTGAATATCGACACTGTAGATTGAATACTGAAATTTTTCGTAAACTGCACTTTACAGTGTTTTCCTTTAGATTTCAGTACCGCTGCTCGCGGTCCGGATAGGGAACATGTTTTGCTGAATGTCATATTGGTAGGAGAGAGTTTCTGGACCTTAGGCGACCTGTGGGGGAGAAGGGGTATGCGAGAATCTGCACCCTGGCCCTTTCCCATAAAAAACATGACAAAAAACATACCCTGTCCCGCAAAATTTATGCCAAAATATAACCCAATTTTTCCAGAATAAACCTGATCCAATAATGATATTTACCACAAGCAAATGTAACTGGAACATGCCCTTTGTAAGAAAACTCTAAAAATCAAAGGAATCTGTTTTCATATACCGTAAAAGTTCTATTAAGCCCCCGGGGCTATTTATTTTTCAGTCCTAGAGGGGGCTTAAAAGAGAGAGGGCTTATTAGAGCAGAGGGTTGGGGTGAGGGCTTATTAATAATTGGAAAAAAATGTTATAAAAATGCTCTTATCCATTTTCTTATGAAAATGTAATACAAATGTTCTCAAAAAACTTTGCTAACAGTTTCAAAATTTCTTAAAATCAATCAATTGTAATGTCCTCATCTTCCTCATAGTAACAAGGGCAGATTTTGTAACAATAGGAGCTTTAGTTTGTTTACATGTAGTTGACTAGCCAATCAGAGAGCTCTACTTCTATGGTATCATCTGTTGGTAACGGCGGTCTAGTGCATCATCTTACCAAATTTAGACTGACTTCTAAGGGGCACAAGTGAATATTTTCATGGGCTGTATTTAATGCACATGATCTTATCATCATCACCTTTTTCAAGAGACCCACCCAGTGCATATGTTTTCTTTCTTTGACATTGGGACCTACAAAAGAGAGGGGGCTTAATAGAAAGGGTAGACTTATTTTGAATTTTTCCTGCTCTGTAAAAGGGGCTTAAAGAGCTTTTACGGTATTTTTTGTTTATAAATTTCACTAATTTTGATACCCTGTTTCAGAATTTTAATGCAGTTTTAAACACCCTGTCCCAGTATTTTTATCGAAAATGATGCTCTGTTCCATGACACACCCTGTCAGGCCAAGTATGGGAGTGCCCCCCTCTATGAGTACTTTAAGCATTTGATTCATCAAAACTTATTTTAATAATTTCTCTTATAGAAACTGGCAAGTTGCTGTGAATTTGATCAAAGGAAGTATTGGAACTGGAATCCTTGGTTTACCACTTGCAATCAAGCATGCTGGTCTAGCCGTAAGTTACTTTTTATTCTCAGGCTGTTTTTTGTTAGTTATACCAATAAGTAATATCAGTTGAGTAAAATTGCATTCTAATGGAAAAATTTTGGTACTCATTTAGATGGGATACCTATCTCAGGGTTGTTTCAAGCAGTGATGGCTCATGGGGTATATATATTTCTAGTGGGGCTGATGACATAATATTCCAAATCTAAAGCCATCGACACACGAAACATCAAGAATAATAAATCACCTTTCCATTCTTTACTACCTCCAATCAACAAGGCCATATTATCATTTTGTTGTCTTAATTGAAAACAACAAGTGCCACTATTAATTATGTGTAATTTGAAATAAACAAAGAAATAAACTTTGTTTTTAATGTTGGTAAGCTTAACTTCATTTTTTCAAGTCTGCTGGACCATTTCTCTCTTCACAAAATAGGTGAGCTCAAAGGTGATGTCCATAAAAACATAGACAACTTGAATATGGCCAACTCATAGACAATATCCTTTGCGTATTATAGCAATTTAAGAATTTTAACAGAACAAAAAGCTCAAACTTTTCATTAATTAATTGTCATATGCTGTGAAGCTAAACTGGTTCAAATTGAAAGCCTTCATTGGAAATATGCAGGCCTGCAGCAGCCTAACCCTCCCATTTTGAGTTTTGTTTGAGGATGGAAAAAAGAAATTTTGATGAAGACTTTACTTGTATGCTTTACCTCAAAGTTTTAAAGCTGAAAATGCGAGTCATCAAATACACACCACTATGCTGTGCCCCACTTCAAGATCAACATTGCCTATCATAACAACAAATATTCAGCTACCGTTGAATTGAATTACTTGGGGCTAGTTGAAACTAGCCCCAAAGGAATGCAGATTCGTGCAGAATTGACCAATCAGAATGCAGTTATCAATTGAATAGTTGAGAATAGTTGAGAATACTTGATTGGTGCATTCTCTTTTAGTTTTGGGCTAGCCCCAAAAGCTCAGGAGATGTATTCTGATATGCGTGTTTGTCTAGTTTTTAAAAGAACCACGGGCATTGGGACCTAAACAAACTGGAGATAGGACAAATGTTGAAACTCAAATGAAATTAGTGAACAGTGCCTAAATAATAAAGGATGTTGATTTTCTTTACGTTTATAAATCTAAAACTTATTTTTGGAAATCTTTGGTGGGGCCAAGCCCCACTAGCCCCAATACATGAGCCGCAACTGGTTTCAAGGCCTATCAACCCAAAACTTCCTACCAATTACATTTTCATGCCAGATGTCTTAATTAGTCCTGCCTGGAAAAGGATAAATTATGCCTGACCCCCTGAAATCAGAACATGGTAGGTCCAATTTCATTTGAAATGTGCTTGTTTATTGGGAAAGTCTTGAGGAAAATTCCATATAAGCAAATTAAAAGCAACATTTGTGTAAAATCTTATTCCAAAATGGGATCCATCTCTGAAATGGCTATGAGAATCTGAAATCCATTAGTTATTGTTTTCCTTTCATTGGTATCTACCCTTACCCCTACTTAACTGACTTGATTCTGCTTTAATCCTTCAATTTTTTCAGCATTAGAATTGATCAACTTGTAAAACAGAACAAGCCAATAGAAGTTCAAGCATTGATACTGCTAGCTTAAGCTGGTTTTCAAGTATTGTTGACCAGAATGTTTCTTTTCATTTGTTTATCCGATAATTTTTTTGTTGTTCTAGCTTGGACCAGCAGTTCTGTCACTCATGGGTTTGTTGAGTTTGCACAATATGCATTTGTTGGTAATTTGTAGTAGAGCAATGGCAAAGAGGTAGGTGGGCCAACAATTTTACAAAAGCCTGGCCATTTGATGGCCATTTGAGGAGAACCATGGCTCTTGCTCCCTTCCAGGCTCTCCTCAAAAGCTGGAGGGGAGCTACAGCTTACCTGGAGATTGCTATGGAGAGTTGTTTATTGCCCCCCTGCTGAAAGTCTTATGACCAAGCCTGTAACACTTAAATGAATTTTCTAGTCATTTTATCTGTATAAACAGAGTTCGTTTCTACCTAAGTTATGTCATGGAAATTCTTTGTTTGAAAAAAGAAAACTAAGTTTCACATATTGTAAAATCATTAATATGCATATCTCCCATAGAGTTTTTAACATTGAAATAGTAATTGTGTAATCAGAAACACAAGTTTGAAGGCACCTTCCAGATTAGAATTTTTGAACATGCAATTATTTGAAAATGCAACGAGTTTAGAATTGCATTGTTTCTGTGTAGATACTACACATTCATTTCTATCTCATTACAATGAAAACATATCCATTTGTTTTCAATATGGCATTTCACACTTGTCACAAATTTGTTTTTAGAGCTTAAGAATTGTGGGCTATTCTAAAGCTTTGCTACCATAAAGTCATGAGAGTTTGGAACGTGTTGCCTACCCCTTCTTCCATCTTCCATAATGATGAAAGAAAAAGTGTTCTGACATGACAACAAAACAATAGCAAGAAAACACGCTTGAAATCATTTATTCATGATTGGTTAATTAAATCCATGTGACCAGTTTTTCACAAAAGTGGGTTGGCAAATTTTAGAATCTGCATTCATACTTTTTTTTGAGTGGAAGAGTCATAAGAGTAGAGATTGATTTTTGCTCAACCCTCCCAAACTTTGAGTTTCAGAATAATCAATGTAAGGAGACCAATGCAGTCTGTCGCCAATACTTTCTAGGAGCAAGGCTTGAGGAATGAAAAGTTGTTTTGTTTTTGAGAAATACCTTTTTAAATTCTTTTATTGTACAAATATATATTAGAAAAAAACCAATTGTTTAATTTTGTTGCTTATAGAAATCATGTTTCCCAACGCATGGATTATGGTGAACTAACAAATTTGGTTTTTTCACATTACTGTAAAAAGTGGAAGAATGCTGCCAGGTGAGTTGATTGATTTAAATGAGCTTAATAAATTCCAATGTTAATCCAAAAGACTGATGCAATATTTTAATTGTTGATACAGAATGAAGGTTTACCTATTACTCTTCCCCAGAAGCGCAAAATACAATTAGATATCCTGTTAATTATCAATTATAGGTATATCTTTTTAGTATTTTGAGACTAAATCTTTATCCATACAGCTATGACAATAAAGTGTAATTTTTGCAAACTCTTTAATGAAATAAAATGTGTTATAGATTATGTACAAACATTAAGTAATAAGTGATTAAGTAATTAAATAATACAAATACAAATATTACTTAAGAAATCATAAAGATAACTTTTTTACATTATTACCTCCATGAAAAAAATGATTGTATGTAGGAGAAGAATTCCTTACAGAAGGCTCTCTTAGTAGCTAGGCTTAAAGAGGAATAACTTGTGTTACCAATTACTACTAGTGGCAACATGTTCCGAACATAAATGCCCTTTATGGCTAGTTTTTTCAATAATTTATTACTGATATCCTATCCATTTTGCAAATTTGTCTTTATTAATCTGTCTTATTAATTTTTAGCATGTTGGTTAACTTTTTCCTCTGCCTTGTGCAACTTGGCTTCTGTTGTGTCTATGTGTTATTTGTTGCTGACAACCTTTACAGGGTAAAAAATCTTACAATATTTTTGTTTGTTTTAGTTTCATCTCAGTTGCACCATTGGCATATGGGAATAATGTTTTGATTCTAAATTTCATTGATACAAAGACATTGTTTCACAGTTCCTAGTCTAGAAAAAGGACCCATTTGTAACCTTCCATTTCCATATGAAATCTGATCAAACTTTTTTCATTTTTGCCTTTGGCATAACTTAATCAGATTAAAAATGTTTATGATAGCAAATTGAAAACAGCCTAACTGTTGATTTCTATTCTCTCTAAAAATACAATGCAACAAAAATGGTTTTCAAAATATTTTTATTTCCCAGAAACAAGAGTACATCCCCATCTACAAATAATTGCTGGAAAAATACCATTCTAGTAGTAGAGTTTCTTAGCAATGTTGGAGTATCTTATAAAGTGCTATTTAGAAGAGCTTTTTAAATAATCTAACAAAAAACAATAGATAAAACATTCTGAAGGGGCTTGGACCATGGTTTTCAAGAGGAATGGTCATGGAAAATCTTGCTGGAACCTTCTGCCCTGGGTTTCTGTACACCCCCTCCCCAGTAAACAGTTAACTGTCTGCCGCTGCATGAGGTAAAATACGTCTGAGCTGGAATATTCTCAGGTAATCTTTAGTTTGCTGTCTTGTGTAATTTGTGTAATTGATGTAGTTTGCTGTTATTAGCGTTCAAACCTAGTAATTTTAATCTTATAGCCAGTAAACAGATTTTCATTTCAAATCAGCTGAATTCTCGCAAAACTGCATGTGAATGCCTTAATGCCTTGTAGCTTCATCTCAAATTTGGCCCTTATCTTTAGTCGGTCTAAGTGTATGCTAATAAAAATATGTACGTTGCATGTAAAATAGTTTGATTGTTAAAAACACGACGTTTCAAGCCGTGAATGGTGCAAAAGTGTTTTTTTTTCATTTCTAGATAAGTGGCCAATCTTTGTCAGTGAAAATTTGGGCTGCCATTTCTCTTCCAGCCTTTCTTGGTTTCAGCTTTATTGATCATCTGACATTCATCTCATACATATCAATAATTGCCAATTTCTTTGCCCTGTTTGGCCTTTTTGGTGTCCTTTATAACGTCATTCCATTGGCTTCCAATCCCACGAAGCTACCACTTTTCAACAGTTTTTCTACTTTTGCCTTGTTCTTTGGACAATCAGTATTTGCATTTGAAGGCATTGGAGTGGTGAGTTTATCTTTATGCTTGCATAATATTCATGACGATTTTCAATTATATTCGACCATTGACTTGAAATGTTGAGCTATTATTTACCGGCAACTGCTATTCAAGGCCTGCGTCACTGTCCCTAAACTTGAGGGCCCAGGGGCCAGCAGTGTGATGAAAATTTCCTCGTACCGTCTCTAGCCCCAATTAAGGACAAAAATTTTGCTGACGCTGTTGTAATTGTGGACTTTGGTTCAATGTTTTTGTTGTTATTTACAGATTCATCTATCCAAATAATTTGAGCTAATTCTAACTATTTATTTCACAAAATCGTGGGGATGCCGTGGCTCCTCTGGCCACCACTGTGGTGAGGGCCCTGTTAATAGAGTATGTTATGAAACAACGAAAGATTGATTTCCTTTTGCCCCGTGTTATTTGAGTCAATTAGTCCTATCTAAGAATAGTTCACCAAAGGTAAAGCAAAGATTTTAGTGTCGTAAGTTTAATGCCATTTGTTTTTTAGATACTGCCTGTCGAAAAGAAGGCGAAGAAACCAAAAGATTTTGTCTTTGTGATGTACTGTAGTATTATATTTGTTGTCATTTTATACATTGCTGTTGGACTGTTTGGGTATTTGGCCTACCCTGATTCAATCAAAGGAAGTGTCACATTGAACCTGTCAGAGACAGGGTAAGCTATTGATTGCCTTAATGCGACCTCTCTTTATATTCTGCTAGAAGCCAAGTTCTTGTGGTGGTTAATTTCATATCTTGATGATTCTCTAGAGGACCTATTCTGTCAAGAGTAAAAATAGATCGACGAGATTCTCTTACTCTAAACATAATTTCATCTTTATTATAAAGCACCTCTATTATAACACTGTCAATTGATTTTTTTGCCGATGCGAATTTTTTAATATTCAAGTAAATTTTCTCCTCTTTAATATTCAAATAAATGCTCCTTCATAATTACCCCTGTTTTTCCGTCTTCAGATAGGTCGAACCAATTTTTCTTTCTTGAAAGCTCGAATTATCCATGCCGGGCCGAATTTTTGTACAATTGTGAAAACGATAATTATTTAATTTTGGGATATAATCCAAGGCCGTTTCCAAAGTTTAATGGAAAATATTTTTGTCTATTTTATCAATTTGTTATACTTTTCACGCATTTCTATTCCCAACAAGAAATTTTCCATTGCTCGCCATATGCTCAATTTTCAAGCCACTTCATAAATTGTTTTTATCTGTTTATGAAATCTTTTTTAGGTTTCACATTGCTGTCCAAAGTGTATATGCATTGGCAATATTTTGCACCTATTTCATACAGTTCTATGTGCCTATGACAATAATGATACCATCTGTCAGACGCTTTAGCCCTTTCAAGTTTGTGAAAGTAGCAGATGTATTTTTCAGGACTGTTTGTGTCTGTGTCACGTGTAAGTATGCTGATCTTGATTTAAGGCAGTCTGTCCCCTCCTTGATTGGCTTATTCTAACTTGAAAGCTTTGCCTTAAAAGAGGGTCTTCTTCTGCCTTTTTAGTGTCCGACCTTAGTTGTTGTGGGTGAACATGACAAAAGATAGCCTAAGCTATATATCATCGAAGTTGACTCAGACGTTTGACACCAAAACAAACTTAACAGCAGCTCGCTCAGGGAAAGAACGGTATTGTAGTTCTTTATTCTGATTGGTAATTTGTGCATTAAACCACAATGCATGAATACCGTGGTCATGAAAAGAGATTCTGAGAACAATGGGGGACATGCTGCCTTTAACGATCCTACTTTATCTATCAGCCTCTAACTCACATGATAATATGCTTGAAATTTAATATAAGATGCAAATTTTCCCCCTATATCTGATTCTGGTTTATATGAAATATAGAGGCTGTTTCAAGTAACAGGCTAATTGGGTACATTTCTACAAATAGTTGCCTGATGATCGCATTTAGCGTGAAATAGCAACTTAGAGCTGTCCTGTTCTATACACCAAATAGCATGAACAGATCTGCCTATACCTCATGGAACACTTTACGACAGACCGGTAAACAGTAATTTTCATTAGGTCGATTTCTACGTATTTTCCAGATAAGCCTGATGGTTAAGGATTTCTCGCTTCACTCATACCCTACCAACGTCGGTGTCGAGCAGCCTGTCTATAATTTTTCAATATATTACTTTGAAATCTTCCAAATCATTAAATACAAACAGCAGTATGTCTAAAACTTTCCATCTTTTCATCAAAATCTTACCATATTTCCGTTATTCAAAATATCTGAAAGTTAAACAACTCTTTTAATCACTCATCTAAAATATTCTTCAATTTCTATTTCAGTTGGGGTTGCAGTCGGTGTACCACAACTCGGCAATAGCATAGCACTTGTTGGAAGTCTTGCTGGATCCGCGGTTCTCTTCGTGTTTCCCTCGCTTTTGCACTTGCTTGTTATATGGGATGATCGCCATCGTTTTGTCACAAAACTGAATATTGCTAAGAACATCTTTATAATGGTTATCGGCACAATCGGTGCTATAGTTGGAACATATGAGGCAGTAAACGCGATCATAAATGACCGAAATATTTCTCCAGCAAAGCATAGGCCGGATGGTCTAACCTTCGGCATGACGACAAACAGGACAACATTAGACTATGTTTAAAAATGCGTTAGCTTCAGGGACGTAGCATGACCAATTCGATGGGGGGGGGGGGCATCAAGATTTGGCTTATTGAGTCCTAGTGGAACTTGCAAGATAAAATCTATGAAAGTCACTGTGGGGGCATTGGAGGAGGACCCAGATGCTACGCCCCTGATCCTCGTATTAATATCAAACTTAGATACCGGCCATTTCCCCAATTTTTTAACGGAGGACCATGCAGGCCATAATCATAAAGCAACAAGTAGTATTCCTTGCCATTCCAGTTTTCCCTTTATTTTGACGCAAATTTATCACAAGGCTACGAACTCAGATTAATCGCAAGGCTAAGGAGTCAGATTAATTGCAATGCTAAGGAGTCAGATTAATTGCAAGGCTACTGAGTCAGATTAATCGAAAGGCTACGGAGTCAGATTACTCGCAAGGCTAAGTGGTCAGATTAATCGCAAGGCTAAGGAATCAGATTAATCGCAAGGCTACGGAGTCAGATTAATCGAAAGGCTACGGAGTCAGATTACTCGCAAGGCTAAGTGGTCAGATTAATCGCAAGGCTAAGGAATCAGATTAATCGCAAGGCTACGGAGTCAGATTAATCGAAAGGCTACGGAGTCAGATTAATCGCCCATACTCAATTTAACTAGGTAAATGAAAAAGCAGAAATGATTAAGAGCATTTTTATTAAATGTCTGATACGAAGGTGTTTTTCTATTCAAAACGGAATTTTCATAGGGTAGCAAGTTATATTTTAGGAGATTCAATTCATCACCTATTTACTTGAAAAAGGCATATCAAATGGCCATTTTCAAAAGCTATTTCTTATTAAATTTGACCATTAAACCTGTAGAGATCGTTTTGAAATTTTGATAATGGTTTTTTGTAATGCAATGCTTTGCTTTTTAGTCTGATAGAAGCACTATGAAATCAATTTCAAAAATTTTGTTATATTTTATCGCTTCTTTCTCCTTGAATATGAATTTTCAGCTTACTTTCGGTCATCATCCGACGTTTATACTGTGAAGAGTGTCGGACAAAAACTTCATTATGCTATGTTTCTGCTATTTTGTGCCATCTTTCCCAGCATATCCCCTCCGCAATTGCAGAATGCTTCATAAATTCTTAAGCATCATTTTCTTTCTTTGTAAGTTGTTATCCATCATAAACGCTTCTAAAGTATTTAGATTAAAGCCTCTAAAAGCTTGTCAGTTGTTATCTTCAAGTAACCTATTCCGTCAAATAACTCGCTGTTAAGCGTGACCTTGCATTTTGGGGGCTGCATTACCGCCCCCTAATATCTTTTTCACTTTGCTCGAACTTTTCTTTTCCTAACGCGTCATCTTTTCCTTATTAATTAGTTTAGTTTCGTATAAATGAAAATAGTTTATGAGGGTCGAAACCAAAGGAATTGTATTGTCGGCCCAATGGCATAGATAAAGAGGGATCAGGAAGGGCAAAATGGAAAAATTCTATCACAAGCTAAAAATAGTGATTTTTCTCTTGTTCTTTGGCAAGGTGAAATTTGGCCTGGTATGAAACCCTTTCGTTCAATGTGAGCCGCAGCTAAAATCTGCTGAAATTGTTACCGTTACTTTCTTCAAAACAGTGAAAAATGTTTACCCAGTTCAAAAAGCTGGGTAAAGTCTAGCCTTAAAAAGCTTAAAGCTGCACCATAGCCCTTGCACACCGCCGCGGTAAAAGAAGAAAACTGAGGAAGCTCCAATCGCTAATGTTTCTTTCTTGAAAGAAGTGGAACGTCCTCCATGAAAAATATCACCTTTTAAAAATTCCTTCTGATTACATTTTTTAAGGTATCAGACTGAAGAAGGAGGTACCTCTGTCGACATAAGGACACTGTTTCTAACAACTAAGATTTGGAAACTAAGATAGAATGCTGGATTGCTGATGAAAGTATTAAACTTTTAACAGCGAGCGATACGGCCACAAAAAATATTTGCAAATTTTTAATGGGTCACAAAGTTTTTTTGAGCAAATCCAACTAAAAGTTCTAAGAATCTGAAGATGAACTTTCACAACTGCTTAAACTTTCCTAGGGTGCCTCCATTTTTTCTGAAAGCATGAAAATATTGTTCTCTGTTTACTTTTGTCCTTTTTCCTTCTTTTGCCTTCTTCCTACCCACATGCAAAACTGATCCACTTGCTTTCAGACTTTCTAGGTTGTCCAATAGCCTTTTCACGAACACTTCTGCTTTCTTGTCGAAATAATCACTTTCCAATGAATCCTTAACTGCATCAAGGTGAAACCGTACTGACAGTTCTGAGGCACTTTCCTTATTGAGGCTCTTTTCTGTCACTTGTACCTTTTTGCTGCTACTTCATCAAAGTTGATGTGTGGTGTGGTGCAAAAATCTTGCGAATTTCCTTGCATTTTACAGAAAGTCTTTTATTTTTCCTTGTTTCAGTCTTCTTCTTGTTTTCTGCTTGCCTGGTCTTTCTGCACTTTGTTTCTGAGCTCTTTGCGATCGATTCAGGGAATTTCTTTTTCAAGGTAAGGGCACTGTTATTCGTGCAACAGTCTGCAATGATGATGACAACGAAGAGGGAGATGATGACAATGATGGTGAAAGTGAAAATAGCGATAATGATTTTGCTCCTGGCAGTATCTTCATAAAAACAAAAAGTGGTCTTCAACAGAGTACCACGAACTGAACTACGACAGAGTTCGTTTCATGTAGATACATATTTAGTTACAATAGACCAGCGAGAATTAGTGTAAACACGTAATGGTTCAAGATATTCCTGTGGCAATGATTTTAATGTCATGATGAAAACATACAAACAAAATGAAACATTTAGCTAGATAACTAAATGCTATCAGCTCGCTGATAAATAAACCATGAAGTTTTGACATGGCTCATGAAAAACATATGCCTTTTCACAATGGGCCATGGGGCTATGAAAATTATTTTGGATAAATTTACATATCCTCCGCCGCCAGTCGTAGATACTTTATGACATGTCCCTTAATGTAGATGAATTAATTCAATTTGATACTTATTTCCATAGCCAAAGTTGTTTTGACCATATCTTTTACAAAAAGACACGTTTTCATAAATCTAAGGAATTTTTCTGAAATCTGAGGAATCAAATGAGACCTCATCAATTATACTTCTTTAGTTCTCAGTTCCCTCAGTTCCTTTTCCAGCGCTGAATACGAGGTCAGTCTAAAAGAGTTGTTAGGCAGGCCATCTTGCCTGCGCTTCACGCTCTCCACTGACAAAATGGATCTTTTCCTCGAAAGAAGTTCTGACAGCAGTGACAGTGCATTTGTTGGCATACGTTTTTGCCAGGAATGGTGAGTTTCCTTATTTTTTAATCCAGATACAATTATATATATGTATCAGAATATTCTGATACTTAGGCCAGTGGAGATATCCGGCGTAGACTAACGATTTCACATTGTCTTTCTATTGTTTATTGGCTTATGTCTGGCGTGAGCTCTTAGGTACAATTGTATCTCGATTATTTCACCAAACTGACGACTTAAAACAAGAAATAACCAGGCCAGGCATGACTTTGTATTTCCCACACATGTTATGGCCAACCCCCTGCTGGAATCGAGGTAAAGTTTGAGTTTAATTTTCAGTTTTAATTAATTTATCGATAACTGTTAAATACAATTGAACAATACCCTTACACCAGTTGCTAAAACTAACATAATGATACAGAAAAGTAGTTCGTAATCTACTACTTTGCATGACTGTAAATATCTATAAATACACTATAATTTAACAATCGTTTATTTGCGTGTGGTTTGCCAACTCATACAGCTTCTAGCTCCAAATTGAACTTTTATGTAGATTATCAACCATAATGTTCCATGGGAACTGATGCGTTAAGATGGAAATTGTATAGAAGCGTTTAAGATTCTATGAAAGTAATGATTTTTTTCCTTCATGCCACTGGCAAAGAAGGATGGATACTTATGAAGAAACTAACTGTCTTTTGTAGCAATAATATGTTGTACCCAAAAGAAAATAAAGAAGACAAGATTCTCCTTTATGCTGTAAGTACATTTTTTAATGAAGCCATTTTGCATGAAAAGCATTATAAGATATTATCTTATAAGATATTATTTTTTGTTTTAATGTTTTTGCAAGAGTTTTTGGCTTGTTGTTTTTAATGGTTTGAAGGAATTTTTACTCTATTTGTGGAATGCGAAATTGCTGTTTTCATGGTAGTAGATGATTTAATAATATTGCGTAAAATTTCAAATCTTAGGTAACAATTTTGGGTAAAAAGAATACAATTTTAATTATCAAGCCCCAACATCTAGACAGAATGGAAACAATACACAAAACTGGGTAATGAAACAAACTTCTGCCAAAGCACAAGTGAACCTGTTGAATATTTAAGCCGGCTTTTTAAAAGCATATTTGAAAAATTAATCCCACCTGTGATAATCCTGCTTCTGTAATAATCCTGCAGTAGATTAGGAGGTAGAATCAATAAACATACAGTGGGAATGCAAGAGAGAATACGGTATGTGCAATTAGTTTGCAATTTGAAATTGCCTAATGAATTTTGTACTGAGATGCAAATCTATCTGAAAATCTTGCATCTGAAAAAAACCCAACCTTATTAATGTTTTGAAAAAGCCAACCAGACATAATGTGAAATCATGTTTCGTGAAACTTGTCAAATCATTTTTATTTTGTATAAATCCAAAGGACTTTGTGGAATCTAATCATATCTTTTTCAGCATTCCACTGATTGTAAAAATTTGTCTCTAATACCCACAATTTAATTCGATAGGGGATATTTTCTAAAAAGTACACATTTGCCTCTGGTGTACATCACATTTCCTTCACTTTTCAATGATAATTGTTTTAATAATGTATATTTCATGTAAAAATATTGGTTCGTAGTGCCGAAACTGTGATTATCAAGAAAGGGCAACTAATAGCTGTATTTATGTGAACAGAGTTGTGCATGATGTCAAGTAAGCCTAGTTTTCCCTTTCAACTCTCTCATTTGTTAAAGTTGTGTGGTATTTGATTGTGTTTAAAGCTTTTCGATTTGCCTCTACCTGCCCTTGGAATTTTTGTGTTTGCTTTGCAATCCATTGGTTTGTTTCTGAGTTATGATGAGCCGGCTATTACCCATTTTCATTTCTACATCCTCACCTTTTGCAGCCTTTGTTGCACTCAATTCATTAATTCTCATTTTGCAATTTAAATCCCATCAAGCACCTTTGTGGGACTTGTGATTTGAGGGGTAATCACTTGATATTTCATTTATTTTTATTGGTTTAAATTCAACAAACATAGACAGCAAATTGTAGCCCTTTTTGACCTGAAGGAATGGAATAGCTAGCTTTTATATGTTAATTATCTATAACAATGTATGTTTTTAAATAAAACTGTATGCAAAGTTTCTTGATTTTTTAAGGGAAATGTTTTATTCTGACTCAGTGGTTATTTTTTAGATATGTAACATTGCTACATATCTCTGTCACTCCCTTAACATTTAAATGGTTTTTTCCATAGTGAGCTGACCCAGATAATTGCAGATGTTGTGGCAGATCCAACATTACCACGAACACAAGAACACACCTGCCCAATGTGAGCGATATTATAATTCCCATTCCTATACCTGAACTTCTATCTTGTGCACAAAAGCACAAAAGTTCTCTGTGTGTTAATAAAATGTACTTTTGCTGAGCACCTTTGTGGGATTTTGCAGATTAAGTAATATAATAATCTGTTTTGCCTGGATCAACTTGCTAGCATGAAAGCTTATATGCTTGGAATTGAAAGCCTTTGAGAATGCTTCAATCTTCAATTTGCGGGAAAATAATTGAAAGGAGTTTAACTGAGAGAATGCTATGAGATAGCCTTGAATAGATCTCAAAAACAGTCAATGGTTTTTAAAATGTAGTGACAACATCATGAACGTTTTTGGAATTATTATTTGCAAGCAAAATTTTTTTTTTAATCTCTAGCATAATATGCATAGAAAGGGAAGTAAAAAATCAGCAATAAATCAAAAAGGTTACTCAAAAAATTACTTGTTTAATCAATTTTATCTGGTACATTATCTTAGTCCTTTATCATAAATTCTTAGCATTAAAATCCTCTTGCAGGTGTGGTCATAACGAAGCAGTTTTCTTCCAGTCACAGTCAAGCAAAGCAGATGTAAGTACCAAATTACATAACAAATGCTAAGACAAGTCGGTTTTTGTTAGGACAGGATTATCACTTAAAAATATTTCTGCTTGAATGTTTATCTTCAAGGTATTTGCAAAAGATAATGGCCAAAAAGGTAAGGAAAGATGCAAGGTGTGGACAATTTTTTCTTGCTTGGGTCCTAGAAAAGATAACAAATAATTTCTGTGCCACATAGCAGTACAGACAACTGCTGTATATAAATTCAGCCTATCAAGCAGTTGACTGCTATTGACAATTGTCCTTTACTTTGACTTTTCAAATTTGCATTCTGTAGCAACTTTTTTACATGATCACATTTAGTTTGATAATTGTAATATCTGATAAGTCATTTCTACATTTTAAAACTATGATAAATTAATCATTGCTTACTGATTAATCTATTTTTTCTAATTCTCTTTCTTCATTTTGTGACTTCTTTCTTTGTGGAGATTTTGTATCTTTCTTAATTTTTTCATGGGACCAAAAAATGCTTTCTGGGACCAATGGCTCTGTAACCTGATACTTTTCCACCCAAAATTCAGAACAAACCAACTAGAGAAAAAAATAGTGTGTTGAATTGTTACCTCGATATTAACCAATCATTGACGGCTTACCCTTCACCTAATTAAAGAGTCCTAGAAAGAAAACGAACTTTTTGTAGATAGGTATCAAATTGGCAAAAAGACTACTTTGTTAGCACAATTGTTCACGATTGTTATCCCCACTTTGTTTGATACCCTCTTGAGCAATTTTAGATCTGTAGCTGAATTTCCAAAATATCAAGGAGTTCTTCAAAAACATTTTTTTTTAAAAATTGTGTTGATCAAGGCTGAAAGTTTAAAGAAAAATATGTTTGTTTATCATTATTGGTGCCTCAAAACACGAAGTACCGTATTCTCTGTAATGAACATCTTCGCCAATTTGCATAAATTATGGTGTGATATCTTGAATATCTGAAATGGATATCATCTGTTTTTGTCAGTATTTGCAAAGACATCAACGGTTTTATGTTTTTCTCTAAGATGGGTATTGCGTTGATTTGCTGTCTCCATCTGTTTTCATAATTTTATTTTGGGGGTAGGGCACTCATTAAAAAAGAGTGGTGATTCAAATTTTTCTCAAAAGGGGGTGCTCATTAGAGAGGGGTGTCAATTAGAGAGGGCTGTGTATTGGAGAGAGAAAGCTCATTAAAGAGAATAGGGTAATGACACCTTTAGGATCAATCTTTTTCTTATTTACAAGGGTTTATTTTTTTATCACAAGAAAAATATTGATTTATTTTTTTCACAAAGGAAGTGATAATGGTGAGATCAAGGGGCCAGATATAGTATCAAGGTTATTTCCTTGGCCCTAATTCTTGAAATGTCATATTAACTGCATCTCTGTGCTTCTTTTCAGCATATGAGGCTTTACTATGTTTGTACAGCAACAAACTGTGGACACAAATGGTCTGAGTAAAGTGGATTCTAAAGTTCTATTGAGCAGCATTTGAAGCGTGCTTTGTTGCACGTGGTTAAAGGAAAAACACCTGAATTCAGTCTCCTCTGTAGCAGATATACTTGTGTCACTGAAGGTGGAATTTTTGAAAGACTCGTGTATGATGACATTTTAGGTATTCTGTAAAAACTAATCCCTTGCAACATCTATTAGGTGTTGATGAAAATGAATCCTTAATATGTCATACCAAGCAGTCTTGTAGTAAATTATGTTATCTTATTTCTAAGTCAGAATATTCTTTGAAAGTTCTGAATTTTCATTGCAAGTTGCTTTTTCCAATTGATGCCTCCGTCATCAGGGATAGAATATGAGCAAGCTGAGATATTAGCTAAAAGTTTTTCTACATTTTGTGAGGTAACAACATGATATCATGAAGTGATTAGTAACAACCTAGCTAACCGAAAGCCATTAATTGTGCTTTTAAATTCTTTAGAGCTACAAATTGACAATTTCTACTAAAGAAAGGCTCCACTCTTAGGCAAGGAGAGCAAATCGCTGTTTTAGTATAAACCATATAACTTATCTATTTTGTGTAATTTTGGCATCCTCAATAACTAATCTGTTTAAAGCTTTCTTGAATACTGTAATTTTTATCTCTTAATTCACAAGACGCTTCTTTTAGCTTAGCCTTGCACATGTTGCCTAAATTAAACGGTTGAGAGCATCACACTTTCTTATGCAATGTAAAAGTCATTATAACCAACACTGAAAATCGAATTAAAAAACTATTCTTTTTAAATACGTTTGTATCCTAATGTCATTATAAATTCAAGATTTCTTCACTTGTCGTAAATATACTTTATAACACAATCTATATGAGATTACAAAGTCTTTGGGTATTAATCTTTTAAGAAGCTGTTCATGAGATCTCCTAACGCAGGCTGAACTATTGGTTGAAATATTTAAAACAGTGGGCGAATTCTTTAATTTTTACTCAAATCAGTGTATTGAAAGACGGTTATCTTGTTAAATGTAGCTAAAATAGTTCGTAGTTTAGAGTTGGTGGCTTTTTGCTTTGATTCATTTTTCGTACGTCCATAACAGAATATCCACGAAAAGACGGGTCTATATAAACTGCGCAATAACGAGAACATGCCATGTACAAAACCTACATACAGCTATACCTTGTATATACAGCTTACCTTTTTCAAAGATAAATTATGTAGCCTGAAATCATATGTCTACACGATATGCCTTGGTGGAAGCTAACACATTTCCTCTAATAAGCACCCAAACTATTTTAAGCGTCTTCTACCATAGGCATTCACCCTAACTTTACAAAGTTGCAATTGAGCGCCGCAGTTTGAAATAATTGCCTCGATCTAATAAACGTCCGACATCGATTTTATAAGCGCCCGGTCTATAAGCGTCTGATTTTATGAGCGACCGTCTCTACTAAGAACTTATTGGAGGAAATCGGTAGTCGGCCTATTTGCGGGTTTTAAGCTAGGTTGGCGTTTAACCACCGCTACCCAATCCCTCCCCCCGGTCATAAAACGTACTGAATTCCCATTTGATTCTTAGATAGTCTGCATTTGAGTGTCAAGGACGGGGGAGACGGTAGTACTCAAGAGTGCTTAGCATGATCTTTAAAATGCAGGTGTTTCTTCAGGAGCTGGAATATGATGCATCGTTTGGTGCCCCGAGATTGTTTCTTATGTTTAGCTTTAGCTGAAGTGAAACTCGTGCATTATAATTGGTATGTCTGTTTTCACCTTGATGCCACATTTATATTTCTTGTTTAAATATTATGATGAACTTTGTTATTTCACAATTTATCTCAATATCAATAGTATTTAAATGAGAATTTACAAAACTTCCGCAACACAATTTATGTGCTTAAAAGTCACGATAGTCAACGGTACTGAGTGATTGCCTCTTTGAAACAACATTGGAAAGTACTCATTAGATAATATAGGAATGATATTGGATAATATTGGATGATATTGGATAATATTGGATAATAAAGGAATGAAATTGGAAAATATTTGATGATATTGGATAATATAGAAATGATGTTAGATAATATTGAATAATATTGGAGAATATAGGAATGATGTTGGATAATATTGAATAATATTGGACATTATAGGAATGATGTTGGATAATATTGAATAATATTGGACATTATAGGAATGGTATTGGGTAATATTGGATAAAATAGAGGTGTTGTAATATTTTAAATCTGCTGCTTCTATTTTCCGAATGTTACTTATCCAGTTATGTTTAAAGCCAATTGCTGCAGTGAGCCTTGATTAGGGAAAAGTGAAGCCACACACCATAAATTGGACATTATTTGAAGTCCTTATTCAACAATCGTTTCAAAATTTATTGAATAAAACTAAACCTCTTTTCATTTATAAGCAAGCCACCCCTTCCAGAACCTGGCAAGAATTTTGAGACTAGATGTATTTTGAAATATTACAATTGAAAAATACGAGCAATTGTTCGTTAAAATTTTTGAAAATTGTTTTATTTCTCCAGCCGAAAGAGTATCTGGTGGGTACATTTTCCAAACTATCCATAAAATAATCTAATTAATCAAAAATAGTCACGACAGTCGCGTACACTTTATAGAATGATTTGCCCCTCGTATAAAAAGGTACTTCCCCACCACTCTACAAACACTCCTAATACTCTAATAAACTCTTCTATATTTCTTTGAGCATTATAATCAAATACAATTTTATTTACATTCAATTGCAAAATGTAAAACCATAATTTTTAATAATTCTTCGTTGTTTGATTCTCTGTTGCAGATGGCAAAATGGTGTTAAGAGCTTTTATTCTACTCTGCTATTTTCGCAATATGTGTCGATAAGGTTGTTGGGACCTTTTTCATCTGTGTTTTGCAGGTAATTTTGATGAATTTTCGCTAGAAGTGACGAAATTCACAATTTGTTAAACGGCTGCAAAAGGTGGCGTTTACACTAGATCCAGAAAGGAGGTTTTTCACTAAATCAGTTTAATAGAATCTACAATGCCTGCTAAAGATCTTGGAACACTGACGTCTGTTTCCAAGGTCAAAATCAATCTCCCCCTCTCCCCTGCAGGACAATGTTTGTTTACTATCAAACGGGTTCGAATTTTAGAATTTTAGGAGGAACTTTCTTTTGCGCTTCTTTTGTGGTGTTTCTCTAGATTATCAACATTGTTTTAGAGGGAAGGGGCGGAAGTAGTAATTTTTCTTCGGGAAAAAAAATAAAAATATCAAATGCAACGCAAATTGCTGGGTGTTCCAAATACTTTTGACGGGCATTGTACACTAAGGTTGCATGCAATATACTTTCTTTAAAACGTTGTCCTGCCATCTTTTATGAAATAAAAGTAATGAAATGTTGAGATGAAACTTCGATGAAAGGAAAGAAATTAACGGAGAGACTCTTTCAATTTATTTGTGTTTCAAAAGCATTTGTGGACTTAGCTTCAGGCATTCATTTACATGGTAAGCGAGAAATTTCATAGAGCATTCCATTTTTGGGCCTTTTGCAAAGTGACCAGTGAAGCAACAAAAGAATATTATAGTCAAATATTGTACTGATAGGCATCCTCATTATTAAGCGAATAGCAGTAACAATTAAACACTATTAATGTTTTATAAGCAAAATAAAATTCTTATACAAACGATACGTCAATGGAATTCTTGCGAAGGATATTATCGAGGAGATTTAGTTACACTATGTTAGTTCTACCATTTCATCTTGGTATTTTTGTTTATAAAAAATTGTAGCTATTAGGGGAGGCGCCAGCTATTAGGCTATGGGGGGAGGGGCAAACAAGCATTTTAAGACCACTCCCATTTTACCGCGAGAAAGCGCTTTTTTACCAACAAGAAACGCAAATTTTACCCAAAGGGGACGCTCCTGGCCAACATTTGGTTACATAAAAGGCAGTTTCGAAATCATAGGATTTCATAAAGAAAAAAGGTTGCTAAAATATTACCCCTCCCCCAACATTTTCGCACCAAATTTAGACTAAATACAAAATTGATTGGGCGTGTCCCCCTGTCCTCCGTGGTACCCCTATTACTAGTTGTTTACAGTCGTGGTACTACTACTACCGATCACAACAACATAGCATCCTAATTGGTGAAATGGCTGACTTTGACACTAAAATGTTTAATCAGATTTACTGTACTGTTACTGTGTTCAAAATCGTTTGGGTCAGGAATCCCATATTGCAATCAATCAAATGTAAACAATCATTCGATCGCATTTTTCAATTAATCAGTCAATGAATCCCAAACAAAACAACAATAGCAAAACTGTGTGCTGATGTGAGTGCAAGAGGTTTTGACAACGTATTCAAAGAGAATTTGTTGATGTGGGTGTATTTTACCCTTTCCCTCCTAGTTATCGCTGCAAAACCTTAGCTGCAACCTTCAGGTCGATAGAGCTGGTGAAAAAGAGAAAATACAAGCAGGTTGTTATGAACCAAGAAAACGGAACTTCTACTCCTCTGATCTTATCATGTATTGGAACTAATTGCAGAAAAACATCATCAAAATTTCAGTGAAACCTCTGCCTGGATAAATAAAAAGAGTTTTTCTTTACTTAGAAATGCAGTAAGTTGCATTAGAGGTTCTAGATCCGGTCCCTATTGGTGAAATGGGTGACCTTGACAATAGAAACAATTTGTCTAGCATCGCTAATTAAAAACATTATGTTTGTAACATTATGTGAATTCATTGTTTCAGTACTTTCTGTGTTTTTTTCATTTTGTAAACCGGCAGCCTATTGGTATATAAACAGTGCTGAAATTTATCTTAGCGTATCCCATTCGAGGTTGAAAACAAGATAAACAATAATAGCAAATTATAAAGGTGAAATTATCAAAATAGGAAGCTCTTTCCAAAATCCTTTAAATTAATCACAAATCAATCGCTCGTGAATATAATTCTCAAAATAATTGAAACAAGGGATAAAAATGGTTCCAAAAAATTATGCATGTTTTGTAACAAACAACTACCGTCGAAGAATCACAAACATTTCAAAGAATGGATTTCCCTTAAGGTTTTAGCTTTTATTGTTGTTTGCATCCGGCTAGAGAAGTGCAAATCTGTCGAATTCGTTACGCGACTTTCGAATTTTCCCCAAAGTACGCCGACGTAGTCACACCAGACTGTTGATACAAAGGACATGTATTTATAGAAATAAAGGAGAAAAAACTCAACAATCGTTGCTTTGTTATTTTACATACATTTGTGAAACGCATTCTTGGTTACTCGACGGCTAAATTGCTCATCATGTATAACTTTACCTCGACGACGTACTCTTCGGCATCGCAAAATTCGACGGAAATCGCGAAAATGATTAGACAAGGCTTCCTCGGTGCCGAAACACCCACATATGAAGGGCAAAAAATTGCAAAAAGAACAAATGCGAACGCCTCTGTTATACGTGATGTTGACGACTGGAAAGTTACTTATTACCGGAGAGCTGGGCATAAGTCTCAAGGTTTCTTTTCAGCTCTCGCTCAACCGTATGAAGAACTTGGAGAAACAGAACTGAATACAAAGTCATTGGTTGTTAACGCTATGAAGGATATTGGTGGCATTTTTGAGCCCGAGGTAAGCAAAAGACGAAACGTCAATAACGTACCCAATAACGAAACCCCCCTTGCCCCCATTTTCCGTCTTCATCTTCTTTTCACAATTCCCCATCTCTCTATCCCAGCCTCCTTTACCACTTTTTTGTTCGAGTAGTCTATAGTCCGCTGGGCCTACTAAACACGATAAAACTCTGAAAATTTGAAAGAAACTTTTTGATTAAGCAGTGGAAAAGCTCAGAATGTAAATGTATGTCCCACAGTAATTTAAATCTCGTTGATCAATACGTTTTGTGTACATTCTAAATTCATTCGATTCAAATCAGTTAACTTTCTATTATTCTATCTTTATCTATTCAAATATCAAATATAAAGTAGCAGCAGCAAGGACTCACCTTTCAACTCTACCCTTCTGTGAAGGGCAGTCAGGCTCGAGCGGTATAGAAAACTACAAGTTTCATATCAACATTTTCATTAAATCAATAATAAACATGACTCCAGTAAGACATGGAACACAAGTTAAAATTCTAATTACAAACTACTGTTTAAATAAAAAGCTACGCGGAAACACGTGAAAGGCTTAACCAATAATATTTAAGAAAAACAGGAAAAATGACTAACATGATATATAAACTTTAGCGACGATACAATGTAAGAAAAACAACCAAGTCATGTACTAAAAGTAGATACCGAAGAGGAATGAAAACGAGGGTAAGACGTAGGTAGAGCTGAAACGATGTAATCAAAGTTTGTCATTAAACTGATTCGTAAAGAGCGGCTAAACTAAAATAAGCAAACTATTGATGACGAAAGAATAAAAAAATATATCTAAATGAATGGAGAAAAGGGGGGGGGGTATCGTGACACTTCCGTCTCTATCATGCACTCCTTTCTTCGTGCTCCTTAATTTCCTTCTCCCCCTGCCACCTACGTGTGGCAGGGAGGAACTCCGTGTGGTTATTAGGCAACGTTATGGAGACCGCTAATCAAAATAATCAGAATGGTGACTAAAAATCCAATAGGCTTTATGAATAAATTTTTCTATGACTTATTAACCTTATTTCGTCTTAAGGTCCTGCGAACAATTTATTGACGTTTTGTTTCTTTGTTGATTTTGAAATGAATGCCCCTCTTATCACCGCCTTTCCCTCTTTAACATTTCTTCTCCAATTTTTGCTAGAAAAAACTTTTGTTCAGACCTCAGAAGATGAAACCCGATAACTTGCAAGAAAAGAACGATTCGAAGATCCCAAAAGTGGTAAGAAATAGAAAAATACCTATCTCATTTGCCACTTTAATTCATAGAAATAGCCAAAGAAGACTTTTATGATCATGCGCAAAGAAGGCAATCATGCTTTATTTTCATAGCTCGTAGGTTCTTGGTTTTGTATAATTATATGTTTCGTTATTGTAAAAAATTCCGGTATTCAAGAGGCGGCGCAGTTATGAATATACACTCTTTTTCATAAGAACCATTTCAAATGAACACGAGCCTCAAAATTGTTCAAAAATTGAGAACAAGCTGTGGCTGAGCTACTGTAAATTGTGATTATTAACAAGGTTGCAAACCCCCATTAAATGGCTATTTACAGTGAAATGAGCTAATCCAAGCCAACTGTTAAAACTACTACATCAAATAAATACATACGAGATTAAATATATAAAATTCTTTGTACATAATAATCCATTAACAACAGAATTTAGAGGGTAGTACTATAAAAATCTGAGCTATTTAAAACGAAAGAATTACAAAAAACCAAGCTGCGGCACGAACGTCCTACATATTTTGCATGTACAGTTGGTTCCATTCCAGCTTTAATTTCTTTCTTATACTCATTAAGAGATTGAGCATTCCTTATGTGCTGAGGTAAAGAGAGCCAAAGACGCTGCCCTCTATATTTGATAGTTTCGGTTCCATAAATGGTTGTTCTTACCCTTGGTACCATAAATTCATTATTATTTCTCAAATTATAAACAGCATGACGCTCGCAGAAAATCTCCCTCATAAAAGGAGGGTTGGTATTTCCCTTTGTTTTAAACATTTCAATCATAAGATTTCGCAGGTGCTTTACATGAATATTTACCAAGTCATCATTTTCTAGCAGAGTGTTGAAGCTAGAATCACCGTCTTGTATGCAATTCTCAGAGCTCTTTCGTGTATTCTATTAACCCTACTATTCAAGTGCCACTGTGGAACATGCAGACCAGTGGACAGTATTCAAATTGGCTAATTACCAAAGCTCTCATTAAGATTTTAAGTTTATCAGCGTCCATGTATCCAGATATGCGAGCGAGGGCGGTGAGTTTCCTACCAGCCTTTTTACATAACTCACTGATATGCGTCTCAAAACTGAGTCTTTTGTCTATCACAACACCTAGTAGCTTTTCCTCTTCCGAGTTTTCTATGATAGAATCTCCTACATTTACTTTGACCTGCTGATTAGAACTTCTGCCAAGAATAAGTAAATGACATTTGTTTGTATTCAACTTCATAAAGTTATCAGCGAACTATTGGATAGTTATACTTCAGTCATTCTCTAGCCTTGCAAGTACATTATTAAGATTTTTATTGCACGCATATAGAGTTGTATCATCCGCGTAATTGCAGATATCCGTATCCATTAAGGAGAGGTAAGTCATTTATGTAGATGTTGAAGAAGAGGGGACCAAGAAATGATCCTTGCGGAACACCAAGGAACAGTTGTTTGTAGGTACTGAATGATCCATTAATCTCAACTCTCTGATGCCAATTTTCCAAGAAGCTGTTAACAAGACACAGTGCTTCATGGCTGAATCCGTAAGCATCTAGTTTTGCTATAAGGAGGTCATGTTTAATACAATCGAAGGCTTTCGAGAGGTCCATTAGGATTGCGCCAACCTTTTTTTCCCCTGTCTAAGCTTGTTTTCCATTTTTGAAGCATTTGAACTAATGTGTGATGTGCATTGTACCCTTCACGAAAACCACATAAAAGTGACGATAAATAAGATTGCATATATTCAATAATCTGTTTATCCAAGTCTCTCAAAAACCTTTGAAACAGTTGGTAATATACTCATCGGTCTGTAATTTTTCTTACTAGTTTTCTCCTCCGATTTGTGAAGGGAAGTGACAACTGCTAGTTTAAATAGGTCCGGAAAGACACCATTTTGAATGCAGTTATTGAAATAAGCTTCAACGATTCGGAGCAAATGTCAGAGCTATTTTTCAGTACTCTCGTGGGTATATTTCCAAAGGTTGTTGCCTTTTTAGGATTAAGCCCCTCAATTTCAGAGTGCATCTGTTCCAAAGTAACCTCTTGGAATTTAAAGTAGCCGTTAATTAAAGTAGCTGTTCAGACCTAATGAGTCAGAAATCGATATAAAATAATCGTTCATGGTTTCTGCAACTTCCTTATCATTGGAAATCATCGTATTATTATCGATAAGGGGAAAATTTGAGTTCGATCGACTTTTATCGGAAAGGACAGGTTTTACAGTTTTCCAAAATTTCTTGCTGTCAGTAATATCAGAAGTATTCAAATTTTTATAGAAATTTCATTTTTTCTTTCTAAATAATATGACACACAAATTACACTGTCGACGAAACGCTTCCCAATGTTCAGCTGTGCGGCTTTTATTATATCTATTTTTAAACCTAGAACGCAGCATAGTAGCTTTACGATGAACTCGATTCATGAAGGGACCATCATTGGCCCTTGCGCATTTTTTCTTCATCGGTGCATGCTTATCAAGCACTTTCTCAAAGAAATTTTTTCTAGTTGTTGGGAGTGATAGCGTAATCAAATACAAAAGTTTTCATTTGCTTTTATCTTCAAGTGTCTGTTATCTTTTACTTTGTTTCATTATTCATTATTTGCAATTTTGAAATTATTTCAAAAATATTCGGTGGCTTACTTTGACACTCAATAACTCGAAAGCTGTGTTGAATATTAAAAAACTGATAATTTCTTAAGTATTTATGCTCGATATGGTTTCATTTGAGGTCAAGTTAATTTTGCCTGTCAGTTCACCTTTACATGATGTCATTGCAATAAGCTATAGTGGGTAACGGGTTCTTTGCAAGAACGTGGGTTCACCAAGAAATACATATATATAATATATATATAATGTTTTTATAAAAGAGGTCAATTATAATCCTTTGAAGTGAATTTTTTGAAAATATTTGTTGAGCTAGCTTTCGTTTGTGTTATAGAAGCACACGGAGAAGCAAAACGATCATGAATCAATTGACAGTGGATTTGAGACAGTGAGGGAGCTTTTAAATGATGCTGAGGTAAAAATAGCCTACCTAAAAGCTGGAAAGCCGCTGATTGATTGTCTTGGGGATACCTCAAAGGTGAGACAACTCGCTTTATTATCGAGAGCTGTCATTTTCTGAGAAGAACATTATATGAGGGAGCTGCTAAAAGATGTTGGAGAGATGAATAAGGAAATGCGAGGATTAGATTATGTTGGTGGTCGACGAAAATTTTAGTTTGTAATTTGCAGCAACCTTAGACTACCCAGCACACTAGACCCAAGAATACCCGAGCGAACTCGAGACTACCCGAGCCAACAAAAGCCTACGCGAGACTACCCGAGCCTATGCGAGTATGCTCGAACATACTTTGATGGTGATTTTAGACTTGAAAATTATAAGTATGTAATTTGATATTTTGACCAAGATTATTAAAGTCTGGTGCTAGAGCCAGTGTAAGCCAGTGTAAAATGCATTTTGTTTTGTAACAAGTCGGAATTGTCTTGTAAAAAACTAATCACCTATTCATTATGTAGCTGTCATTCCAAATCCAGAAATGTTGTTAACCTTTCTCCAGACAAAAGCATCCCAGAAGGCAAACCTTCCTCACAAAACAATAGAAAGTGGGCGTTGCTTGGGTGTGTCATATGAGCTTCTATTGTTTTTCGTGGATCTTCCTCCGGTCAGTGGCCGTGCGACCGTAACGTTTTCCTGACTCTGCTGTCATTATCATCCACTTTTGACTGAATGACAATCAGTGTTAGGTTTCGATTACTTGCCTTGCCCCTTTTACTGTAGTTTCTACTTATTTCTCTGTTCTGTTATTCTTTAAGATAGCCATAGAAAGAAGACAAAGCAACGGAAATCAGAAAAGAGGCAAATTAATAATGGAGACACCAAATCATTTGATTCAAAAGGACAGTATCTCAGAATCCGGCTCTAGAAGTAGAGGGTTAGTTTTTCATCTTTTTGTTGGAACAGAGATTTGTATTTGTTGCTACCTAGCATTCGAATGCAGTTTCAGGACACTGTTAAGGTTTGCTTATCGAGCAGCGTCTTGGTCCTTTCTCTCGATGTGACCACACCTCGTGATTCCTATACCTATACATAGAGAGAGCTGGAAGGTTCCCTCACTCTAGGTGAATGTTTGGTCATACAAAAACTCGAGCCCCAGAACCTTTACCTGATGGAACAGAAATGTACTTTATACCGCTACATAAACAGCTAGATACGAAAATGGTTAATACATTTGCAAAATTTTTTGCATCACAGTTTGTTTATCAGAACTGAGTTCGCTCAAAAGTCAAAAAAGCATTCAAGTAAAGTTCAAATTTGAAGATATCCTGAAATCAATTTTTTAAAGTTCCACGAAATCACATCATGAAATCCATGATATCATGAAATCAATTCGAAGAAAACATTAAATCGATTTTTAAAGGCTTTCATTATTAGCCCTATGACCTGATACAACACTGATATTCCTCAAAATGCACAAAATCAGTTACAGCTGTTACGAAATGGCTGTAATACTTTGGATTAACAATCTTCACTAACAGAATTAAATTTTTATTCAGTTATATCACGTTTAGCATATCAATCATGCCCGTTGACTTGAATTATTTACAGAATGTGCCCTGTGTTTAACAGTATGAAAATTACCTCTCTGTGACGTCATCATAAAGCAACTGTATTCGTCACTTTTCAGTATTTGTCTGTTTGCACTGCCCGTTATTCATATCAAATACCAGCAAAAAAGAGACGAAGAAGCAAATCTTTTCTTGAATCCTGCCTTACTACAGTCCATGATTTCAAAATCATTTTATATGTGTTGTCAAAGTATGGATCCAGTCATATAAATTTTTTTTAGTTGGCGCACTGAAATGACACTGTGTTGGGATCTCCTAGCTTACTGAAAAACGCTTCCCACCTCAAACCACTTGTTTAAACGCTTCTAGTATGTGTCGTATATTCTTTTGAATTTGGTATGAAACGCTTTTACATTCGCAGAGAGCCAGACAGCAAAGCAAGGAAGCATTTTTTAGCAAAACTAAGGTGCTTGAAGACAATTTTCTGCTGTGTTTTGAACATGAAAAACAGAGACCTTCGAAATAAGGTAAAAAATGAGAATTTATATCATTAACCTGTTCTGTGGTATTTAAAGAAATCAATAAAAGTATTAATAAGATATTCATATTTTAGAAAAAACTTATGTTTCTTTATATGTTTCTTTCTTTGTATAAAATACTAAAAAACATGATATCATATGGTTTTTAACATAGATTTGATTTTCAAGTCAGATCATGAAATATTCAGCTATCTTGTTCTTGTTCTAGTCAAACACGCAGTTCCAAGAAAATCCCCTATTCTTGAAGAAAAAGTTACTAAAGCGTTGGTCGTTTGAGTCGTTTGAGTCTTTTGTCGGTTTCCCCTTGCAAAAATCATTCATGCGTGGGTATTTTGGGTCGTGGAGATAGAGAATTATTTCTATCTCTGCGACAACTGTCGTTTGAGTCTTTCGGGTCTTTTGGGTTGTTGGCAGGTATGTTTCCACTAAGTCTTTTCAGTCGTTTGGGTATTTTCCAACGACCCAAACGACCCAAACGACCAAGTGGGAACCAGGCAGATTGTGCAAGGAAGAGAACGTAAAATTCCTGAACTTAAATATTGAGAATATATACGTCTTCTAAGCGACATAGCTAGAGTGCCACGCCTTTTCACATAGCAAATGAAAACAAAACCTAATCTGCATTTGCAGGTTTTGGCTTCCATTAAATCTCAATTTGACTAGCATTTTCTGAAATGAGCTCTTGAAATTAATGCAGATTATCCTGCTAAGCATCCGTGCTTTATGGTATTTCTTCGATTTTGGCATTTCCTAAAATTGTTATCTTATTTGAACATTAGAACCCGCTGATGAGAGAAACATTGCAGTTTCTCAAACGAGAGGTTGGTATTGATCTACTGCAGCCTCAACCGGCGTCAATCCGTATGCCACGCCTGTCTGCCGTACCAGCAGTGATTCTCCCCAACCATCGTAGCCTAAAACTGCAGAATGTGTCTTCATGTGAAACTGGCTCGCTAGGCCCTCCATCACTGGTGTTGGGAAGGGCGCCGACAGTTGTTCCTTCTACTGACGATTGCGAATCATCGACAAGTAGATACCGGCTAAGCACTGCAGACACTGGAATAAAGACCGGACAACCTTTGACAAGAACCGGGTACGTTACGTTTTATGGAAGCATCTGGTCTCTGCGTTACACCAGAATTGAGTGAATTTTGATATGTATTTGGAAAAGAAGGATAGATATATGAATCATGAGAGAGGTGATAGAACGTGCAGGTTAGGATTTCTGTGTCGAAGAACGTTGGTGATGAATTAGACATTGCATTTAAATAAAAGAGTTTGAAAATTTTTTACTGTCTTTGGGAAAAGCTTTGCACAAAATAAATGGAAAGGCTGAAAATCCAAAGTTATGGGTTTTATGACATTTATCCAGCCAGTTTTAAATTGCAATGTCTAACATTGAACAACATTTTTCAGATAAAAACTTTCGTTTTTTCTGCAGGATAAAGATTTCACCCTCAAAATTAGCGGCATTGAATCATGGCGTCCGATCTGAGGGTTTGGACAGCGTACTCTCTCCACAAGCTGAACAAATGAAAATGAACGAAAGTCTCCCCACTGACCAGCTGAGCCTCGGCAAGGGTGGGAAGTTCAGCTCATTCTTGGCAAGTTTTCGAACAGCTTTGAAGCCTCGGTAAATCATTTAATATCTGTGAATTTTTCATTCATTATTGTTTCGATTAAATTTAGGCAATAAAGTTTAGACTATGATAATTAATGATAGCGACTTTTTAAATATCTTCATCCCTGTTTCTGCTTGTCTGAATGTTCTTAGTTATCTTCCAAATATCTTTAAACGTTGAAATAACGAGAAATCAAAGGTCTGAAAAGCTGTTTAATTGTAAAGTCAATAATTTCTTATCAGAGATGCTAGCAATAATGCTTTTTTGAAAAACTTTGTAGAAGAGGCGCTATTTACCAAAACAAGGGTAATTACGACCTGCCTCTATGGCAGAGAGTTATTCAAGAAGAAGCCCGAAGAGAAGGTACGATATATTTTCAAATAAATTTCTAAGTATTTTCCAAAACCTTATATTTCCTTTCTTCACCACAGATGATGGCTTGATGGCCCTTGTTGGGTCAGGAAATACGTAGTAGCTTTAATGCCTAGGGCTAATCGTTTAAGAAGCAATAGTTTGAGCATTATGCTTTGGAAAAAATTCAGTATGGAGAAAGAATAAAGAGTGGCTGTAAACATGCTCTTAATGTTTTCTGGCTAATGCCACGAGTGGTAACATATTTATGATAGCTTGAACACGTAGTAGTGTTATTTATGACTGAAATTTAACCTTTCTTGTTTTATGCTTGCAATTTTCACACTGCGTTGGCGCAGCGACCCAACAAACTCAAAATACACCCCTTTTCTCTAATGATTATTCTTTTAAGACTGCAAGTGTATGGACAAAATGTTAACGAAAGCTCATGAGAGGCCGTTCATTCTTCAAGAAAGTGTACGAGTTTTCCATCAGCAAAAAAGGAATTCTAAGAATTTTCAAGTAAAATAATCATATTTCAATTCAAAGTGTAAGAGGATTTCATAGAATGATTTCCTTGCTCGCTATCTTGTAGGCTCAAATATCGTATGTTTTCATGAATCCATCTATCAAGAAATTACAGATGTACTACTATGCTGACTTGTTTGTCAAAATTTATCATAATCCTAATCTGTCAGTAAAATTTTCACTCCAATATTGTAATGTATTCTAATGTTTTCAGAAACAAAACACAGCCGTAAAGCAAAGGAATTGAAGTGAGTTACCATAAAAAATATACACTTTGTAATTTTTTTTCCCATTATTTTTTATTTATTTCATGATAACATATAATTCAGCACATATGGATATCTAAAATGATTCGTATTCCATCTATAAAATGCTCTATGTGTCACATTTGTCGATGGAAAAAACTTCAAGATTTTTGCAATACACAGTTGAAAGGTAAAGTACAGGCTTAAGAATTTGCAGGTTCAGTGAAGCATAATGTCCAAAAATTCTTTGGAGAAGAAGATACCTTAAGATTTTCTTTAGCCGTTTCTTAGACATGGGGGCTTATATTTTTCTTTTGCCTCTATTTTTAACATTTACTTTCCTTCTATTCTCTAAAGTTTAATTTCTCTTGAAGTGAAAGACAGAACTGTTTTTGTAATATAAAGTTTGTCATTGACATAAATATATAAATATACCTATAGTAAATAGTACATCAGCCTTGGCCTAATGATGTCAATTTGTTCGAGCCAACGAGAAAGTGCATCATATGCACATTTGGGCGAAGGCTTGAAGACAAAATTTACATCTCTTGCCCTTCAAATCATTTAATCAAACCATTATATATCATAGTTGCATCATATAAACCAGAGTTTTATTCTCAAACTTCTCATGAGAACTCATTTCTCTAAATTTTCCTTGCCTATTGGTTCAAGACTTGCTTATTCCCATAAGAGCCGAAAATGTTCCTACACAGAATAGATTACATGATGTGAAATGACGTCATCGATTATAACTGCGCATGTGCCTATGATGCAGAGTTTTGAAAGCCACCGGACCTGCGAACAAATATAAGTTCGTCGCCCAAACAATAGCGTCGTGCAGTATCAGGTCTTCCTTTTAAAGACTGGCTCTTTTCTGCATCTTTTCTAAAGGAATAAACAGCCTGAAGATGTGGAGAACATACTGAAACAAACAAAAAAGGCCTTTGTCAGCATGAAGAGCAGACACGCTAAAAAGCTGCAGAAAGAGTTGCACACAAGAGTTGGGTATGAAATGATTAATTTTTCCATGTTTTTAAGAGCGTTGTTTCTAAGATCTAGTTATTATGGAGACCGTCTTCTTAAAATACTGACGCTAAATTTGGGAAGACTCTCATAACAAACTGTAGAAGATAAGGCTTGAAATAATGAAAGGGAATTCTAGGGAAAGAACATAAAACAACCCAAGAAGCTAGATCTATAAAGATAGCAGCTAGATCTATAAAGATATGCCTGTACACTTTGCATAGCAGTTTTTGCCCAAAACGAAGTGGCAGTTCAGAGGATACTCTTTTAGATACTGCTCATGGTTGCTAGGGTAACGAAAATGGTAAACAAAATGATGATAGAAAGAAGAACGGAAGGAAACTAGAAAAAGTTATACTAAAACAGCTATACCGCTATTGTGCATCTCTTTATCACTATTGCAAAGCCATGCTTATCTTGTTCTAAGTAGCTACCGAAGGTACTTCTAGTACACCGAGAAGCTGTGCTTATCTACCGTATCTTCGTCCTTCCTCTGTGACCATACCTTGTGGTTTCTATGCCTGGAATTCTCTGGAGAGCTCTCGTTGATCTAAGTGAAAGTTTGGTCATGACTGGGAGTCGAATCCAAGACAGTAGTCAGCGACTGTAACCATTGGGCAATCCTCGCGCTAAATTTCTTGACTGCTTGGGTAGCCTTGGCAGTATCTATCGTGTTCTCACACTTGTATTCGCCTATTTCTGTCCAAATCTGGGCATTTGTTTTCTAAATTCACATTAATGATTGATTTCTTATACTATGAGGATATCTGAATGTCTAGGAATATTTGTTGTTTTCGAAGCCATTTTGAAATTTGTACCATTGAAAAGCTTCATTTATCGTTCTTTTTCATTCATGTTATCAGATACTTAAGACAGCGATTCAACTGCTTGGAGGTTTCAATATTTCATGAAGAAGACTTGAAAAACATGCGACTCAAAGTAAGGGAGTTGCAACGCCGCGAAAGTCTTGACAACGCATGTCCGACGGGATGGTGAATACATTCATGATTCTTTTGCTTTATAATTCTTCTTAACACCCATAATATATTCAGATTGTATTCTCATTCAAATCCTCTCCTCATCATGACCATACATCTTAAAATTATTCGACAGCTACTCAAGTGGCTTAAACCATCTGTCAATCAAAATTGGCCAATCAATTTGCGTAATTCCCCTCACACGTTTATTGATTGGCCAATAGTTGATTAACGGTTGACGTAAGTATCTGCCCGAATGCCTAATATGGTGATGCATTTCGTGGGAACCATAATTGTCAAAATTGATTTATGATGATTGATTGATTATGATGCTGATTGTGCTGACGATTGTCCCATCCCTACTGCATGTAATACTACATTTCTGAGAAGCTAAACCAATGTTTTAGCTGGTATGCCTTGCTTTGAATAAAGAGTAAATTGTCTTTTGGTATAGGTACGAGCTATTGTGCAATGAACAAAGCTCTTTGAAGCTGGACAATGACAACGAAGTTTCATCAGAAGTGAAAAGTCTATTGCAGTTTACTCGAATGGAGGTTACAACTATTGTACACCTCAGAGTAAGTGGTTCTCAGATAAAATTTCGTGCTTTGTAAACCCTTTTCGGAAGCGAAGTGACGAAGTAATCTATATTTGAACTATTATTCAAGCGCTCAAACAATGGGTTCTATCGACACGCATAGCTGAGAACAATAAAATTTGATGCCAAAATAGATCATGAATCGATTCGAAGTCACTTCGCCCCTGAAAAGGACATACAAAACCATACATAACACGAATGTTCGTGAAGGAAAAGTAGCTAGAAACCGTACTAAAACATGACAAAAATGTAAGAGCAACAGCTTATTCGCCTCGTTAAAGCTTGCTCTTGTCAAAGGTGGTCTTGTTTTTGACAGCTATCTTAGATGCGAAAAGTGACGTAAATCGAGGAGTTTTAGTTAGGCTATCTTAGTTTTCTTATTTTATCTTGTTGGTACAAAGTTTTTTCATGTTGAACTTTTTTTAGAAAGATCGCAGAGAACAAACACAATGTCTGCTAACCTAGATAGAATAGATTTGAAATTTAATAATCTTTTTTCCAAGATGACCTTTTTTATGAAGTTCGTTGCTGTTTGTTCTCAGGCCCTAGCGGTGCTCCTTACTTTCTACATTTGATCGCCATTTCGTCGCAAGCATTCCATTGGAGTCCGTCGAGCAGCTTGCTACAGAGGCTTTTTCTTTATTTACTTAACTGACCTTTTAGCCTATTTTTCATTAATCTGGTGGAAAATCATATCTTCTCACTATTGGATGCCACTTACATGCTGGGGAGTATCGTACCTCAAATTCAAATCTTAAAAGAAAATGTTATCACAATTCAAAAGACTTGGAAGAAAACTCATTCAATAATTTGTTCCTTTGGTATGCCTCTATTAAGATCATGTAGTATTCTAACACTCGAAAGAAGGGCCACTATTCGAAGTTACAGAAGCCAAAGCAAAAATTCGAAACAAGAAAGGCAAATCTGCTTTGTTATGATAAAAGAAGCTTCCCCTCTCACTGATTTACCACCAGTATCTAAAATGTCTACAACAATCTCCTGGAACTTTTAATTTCAGGTTTGCTGTTATGACCCGGTTTGAGTGCAAATCAATCGACTTGGAAACAAGGTAATATGCACACAAAAGACGACATATTTTTCCAACGCAAACCTTCGTAAAATCGAAACTCTTTTCAACTGCTTACGTGATTTGAGCTATCTCTGACTAAGAACTAAAAAAAAAATGTCCTCTTCCAGGGAGTAAGTCGGTTCTTGTAAGATATAGGTTTATGTATTAAAAGGGGGTCTTCGGAGAGGTCCTTATACTATCATCTATTCTAGTATATCATAAATTAGCAAATTTTTTACCAATCAATTTCTGTTTCCTTTTCAGGCAAAACTGTGTTTACTTGTCATGTCTCTTCCTGTTTATGAATTGTGCAGATTGTCAATGCAAGAAGCTCTTAAGGTTTTTATTGCTTCATTTCAATTTTCCTTTCCTTTCATAACATTTCGAGTAGGCCTACAAAGTTTCCAATGCGTTAGGTGAATCAGATAAATTCAAACTTCATATGGCTTGCTAGAACTTGTTGTTAGGCTAGCGATACAACCAAATCAAGTTATATAATTGTTTTTTGTCAACGGCAAAACTCTGCTGAGTTTTTACAACAACAAAAAAATTTTATAGCCAGAGACATATATCGCAATCGCTGGCAATATTAGTTATAGTGCAGCTATGGGCTATATGCAGTTGCCTCGTTCTTCAAAGGGAACATTTGCCTCGTTTTCATAAGGTGCATTTGCCTCGTTTTAATAAGGTTTTCGTCGTATATTTTCATATTTCATAAGGCCTATGTTCATTACTTTGTACTGCAATCGTTCCCTTGTAGTTCTTTCTTTCATCGATAATGGAAGTTTCAGAGCATGCTCTCGAAGATTGGATGCTTAGCAGAAAATTAATTACAAGCAATGTTTTGATGGAGTAAGAACACATTCGAATAGTAACATTGCTATACTCATTTTGGACTGTTATTAAAGCAAATATAATCATCAATCTACAGTGAAATGTAAAATTGTACGTATTAAATGAAAATTACCATTATTGCATATTTGAGTATATCCAGCGAATGATACATTACCATTCGAAATCAGATTAAGCGCATCTATGAAGTCGTCTTCTTAGAGAAACGCAAGTATAAGTTACTTATATTGATGGAAGGTCAGCATTGCTGCTTACTAATCAAACTCAAAAGGTTCTTGTGAGTCTGGTACCCAGGGTATCCTTTAGACTGGACATTTTCGTATTGGCCTACATGTTCTACAGCCTTAGCATCATTGTGGATATCAGCAACTTCATTAAAATCTTATGACAGATTCTAGTTTGAGATTCTGATTAAATGTCTGTACCTTCTTCCAGATCTTAAACTCAGGTTCCTAGTTTGAATCTTGACTAAGATTCTACTTACAATCCCAAAGCAAATCAAATTTTTAAGCCAAAAAATTGGTTGATATATGGGAATTTTCCGGATGAGAAAATTTTGTAATCGTATATCTGTGGCATATCTGCATGCGTAATTTCAGCGGTTGATTTATCAAAAAGCTTATTAGGACCTCACAAAGCAGAAAAAGGTTGTAAAAAATGCACACAGTCTTTTGTTGGGAAAAATACAAATAATCAAGAATTTACTCCTACTCAACTATCATTATATTCGCTTTTAAAATTCAATTAACAAGATAAAAAATTAAGAATTAACAAGTTTTAATTCTCCTTACTTTATTTTCTGTCTAAAATTACTGCCAAAATATCTTGGAAGACAATGTTGTTGAATTTTTCACGCAAAGCGAATTTTTCGCGCGAAGCGAGTTTTTCGCGACGAAGCTTTTAGCTGCGGATTTTTCTCTCGAATTCGAAGTTCAGAAATTATTATGCGAATTTCCTGCAAATATAGCAAAATACTATAGCGACTGTCCGAGGAATGCTGTTACCAGAAAACTTAATAATTTCAAGTTAGTCTCATTGAAAAAGAGAGGAAAACAGCAAGAATGCGATTCTGGGTTAGAAAAATTATTTAGAACGTCTTCAGAAAAGGAAATGTCATCTTTCAGTAAGAGATTTACGTTAACATGGCCAGTAATACTTCTTCAAATACTTTCAAATGTCACCATCTAAGCCTGCGCAAACATGTGAGATCCTGTTAGTTCATCTGAATCGAACCGATCTTGAGTTTTTTATGACTGAAAAAGCTGCTGTTGAGCAAGTAAATAAGCAGTTCAGTGTTTTTAAGAAATTCTTGCCGATCGTTTATTTCAGACATATTTGTGAACGATGGAACTTTCAAGCCAGTTTTCGTTAATTTGAAATTCAAATTTGAAGGAATAGTAATCTGATATGAATCCACTTGCATGGATTGTGTACGAGGAACAGGAAATGAATAGGCCATCAGGGACAAAAACAGCAGTCAGCTCTGTCAAATGCTGTTTTGATTTGTTTATTTCATAACTCGAAAAATTTCGTAGCGAAAAAGTAGGAATAGTTTCTACTTTTTTCGAAGCGAATTATTCTCTACGAATTCGAAAATAATTTTCTTATATCTACTTCTGCGCATATACTTCGCGCATTCGAAACGAAAGATTCGTTTCGCACGAAAAATTCGTCTCGTGTTAATCTGACTTTAGTGTACCAAACTCTCTGGCAGGTAGTGCAGTATTACATCAACTTGTTAAAGAATAAGAAATGTGCTAATCTATGAAGTTCGTGTGATGTCGAGATCATCAGAGCACTGGCTCTGGCAAAAGGCTAGCTTTGTCATCATTCTCAGGCTCATTGACGTGACGATACTTCTCATCATACCTCAAGTCAACTTCCATGCTTATTTCTGGAGGCCTGGAAGAGAAAGCAGTTTCGTTGTAGAAAGTTCGCGTCATTTAAAACTTAATAAAAGAAGATGTTGAATGCAACTTAAGCTTCGTTTGAATCATGAATTACACTCAATACCCAATTTTTGTAGCAAAGGCAGGGCAATTGTTACTGATTTCTCTTTGAAACAGATCCTATAATGTTGCCCTGCAGCACGTGCTTCCAATCCTTGACTACCCAAAAAACGTTTCGAACAAAAGCACAAGTAAAGGAAAGAATCTGGGGTTGACCCAGGGGATTTATTCGTGAGAAAAAATTAATACAATTAAATGACTACTTTGTTCATGAAAGAAAGATAAGTACGATGTCTAGAGCATAATTCTTCATGGGTATTCAATAGTGTTTGGCAACTAGAGAAAAAACAGGAGGATTTTTTTATCAAATAGTCAATAAGAAAAGGGGAAGAGGCCTAAGAAAGTCTAACAAATCTAAAGATGTCAGCTTTATTCAGAAGGAAAACTTGCTATCATCAATTCTATCAAGAATTCGATCCTAAAAAATGCTGACACAAAATAAGTTTCTATTGTCTAACCGCCAGTAATTAAATACAAAATTTCCCTCTAGTTAACAACTACAAGAATTGAAATACCCAATACCTCCAGGGACATAACAACTAAATAGAGGCACCGAGGAGCGTTAAGAAAAATGAGTGGGGATCTGAAAAAGGGGGGAGCGAAAACCGAAAAGGCTTGACTTGTGGTTCATTTCTTAACTTTTTTTTCAAATTTTGCAAGAAGTAAGAGGGCCTAGCTCCCACCTTTTCCACGGTGCCTGGACGATCGTATATAGTTTGAAACACGGAGTAGCAACTTGCCGTAGAACCGTCCTTTTCTATACACCAAAAGTGTAATCACAAATATATATTATTTCTTAAAATTGCATTGTTTCAGTTCAAGTTCTGACTAAGAATTTACTAGATTTCCCGAAGGAAACTGAATCTGCATTTTTCCAAGCAGACAAAGATTGTGCAAGAGTTGATACGTACCCAGTGTTGTATATGTAGATTGATGGCACCATTATCACAAGGGCACCAATACTGAACCAAGTGCTTATGTGCTCTTTTGGGTGCCATCCAAAAGGAGACTCTTTGAACAGGGTCCAAAAGACGAATCCAAGAGGGGTTACCAGGGACTAAAAGAACACGATATACTGCTTTTAAATTCAAAACATTTACGTGAGAATAACAAGCCTTTCTACTCACTTCTATAGCTAAAGATGGGACGAGTTTCGTCTTGAAACAATATACAGAAATATACAGTAGATGTAACTCAGTAATGCAACTATAATGGTTCGGTCCAATCCACTTTTAATCCAACACGGAATGTGTTGAATGGGTGTGTCGAATTATGACTATGACAAACGATTGAGATATTTTTTATGTATCCTGATGTTTGGCGTGGCATTTCTTTAAAGATTACGGGAGAAGTTCTTAAATCTGTGTTTGAAGAATCATGGTGCATTACAAACATCTTGTTTGAGAGACGTTATCAATCAACAATCAGTGGCGTGTTTTGTTGTTCACCGGGCATTTTGAGAAAACGCCTTTCTGAGTAAAGAAATGCCTGGTTGCATCTTTTATGTGCCACAAAATTTAAGCGTGCTGATTTCATGAATAAATTAATTTTCATCCATGCTTAGTAGAATTAGTTGTACCAAATTTTAGGGACTAATAAACCAAAGTATGGACTAATCAACCACCATGCTCAATGGTACTGCTTTGTAAATGCTTTGTAAATTCAGGTCATGTAGTCCACCTCCAAGTTCTAATGTTTCATTCCCAGGATATTCCTTGAACATTATGGAGAATGTAATGTGACAATTAACGTGCCATATTTAAGAGGGAGCATTTTAAAATCAAGCACTCACTGTGACCAATGCTAGCCATGTCGCTCCTTCAGCATATCTCAAAAGATTGCCACCACCAACATAAGACAGCACATACATGGTGATGAAAATTGTCCCTCTTGTCCCACTTACTGGAGTGCATCCACCCCCACCAAAAAAACATCTTACTCCAAACCACCAGCTGAGGAAATTGATATACGATATTTTTGTAATAGATGGTAACAATCGTGTCAAGTTATAGCAGCAAAATAAAGTCGAGTCCGGTCAAGTTAAGACAAGTCAAATCGAGTCGAGTCAAGTCAAATCGAGTCAAGTCGAGTCAAGTCAAGCTAAGTTAATGCAAGGCAAAGCAAGACAAGGCAGGCTCAACAGTCAGACCAAAACTTAATTTAAATTTAAGCAAAACTAAAGCAACTTAATCAAAGTCTTGTTATGTTAGGTGGAAAAAATATCATGTCAAATCAAGTCAATTTTGCCATGTGGGTCAAGTCAGAAATGTCAAAGCAGACAGTGATTTAAGACAATTGTTACGTACTTTTGTGCGAACTCGCTGATGTTCTTCGAATTGCCAAAACCAGGTATGATATCAGCCCAAAAGAACAGCCCAACAGTCAACAACTGATAAACTGAAGTCCAGAACAAAAAATAGACAAGATTGATACCCCGCCTTGAAGTAACATTCTCGAGTTTGAGGCTCTTTTCTTCAATAACATTCATTATTGCTGCTGGAACCTGAATAAGAGCAAGAAAAGTTCTTTACCAGAAAAATTTGAATAATAAAAGTACTCAAATACTATTCAAGTTTGATCTACAGATGATTCATCTAATTCAAAGTTTGATTTGATAACATACTTCAAGATTCCCCTATTATTGTAACAAATGAAAGCTAGCGATTTCCTTTTGTTGATGTACGCTCTGCCTGAATAAAAAAATTGATTACGTAAAAACACCACTTCACTCCTTTGGCCCAGAAAATGACCATTTTTGTCCCTTACCGCATACCGTGTCCAAACTCTTATTTTTTGAACTGCACACTGTTCATTAAGACTTCTTCCCTGTTTTTCATAAGAAAAATTATAATAGTGAAGTTCAATGTCTTCCTGACATGACGACATAGATGGTGCAGCTAAACCTCTAATTGATTTTATTGATTGCAACTTATCTGTAGACCCACCGACTCTAAGGGCGTAGAAAAAAACAATTTGGTAGCAAAATATTTTGTACCGAAGTTGCTTTAATCCAGCCCCCAACCCCCCAAATCAAAACTACCCACCACTATTTATTTCATAATTGGTTTTCTTATGCACCAGTGCAATAATTGCTTGTAATACCGTAACACATTTTATGGGAGTGGAACAGCCATTGACCGGCAGGCACTCATTTGGTACAACTTTTCCAAACTTTATAAAGTTTCTTTGTCGCTATTAAAGTTCTAACATTTCTTTATATTTTTGTTGCTGTGTTTTCAGAAACATTCAGGCCTGCAAATTTGAGCCTTTGCACAAGCAATAAAAACCATTTTAATAAAAACAAATCAATGCATTTGATAACAATATCTACTCACAAATCCAAGCATAAAACACATTGGCCATAGAACACCAGCAGCTCCAGATGCGCCCCCCAGATCTTGCTTGCTTTTGGGGTCAATTTTTGGGAAAATTGTTGGCAATAAACAGATGAACAAGCCAAGAACAACGACCATTCCACAAATTAATTTTCGAAAAGTCGGTTTCTTTTTCAGGATGAGAAATCTAAAGAGACAAAATATTGTGTAACTCTTATCATATAGAAATTCAACTTTGCTGAAGTCATGAGGTGGAAAAATGGTGAAAAATGGAAGTAAAATGAACAATGAGTAAATTCACAAAGGCATGTTTAGTAGCTGACTAATCCAGTTAGCTTCTCGTGTGAACAATAGAGCAACAGAAGAAACAATGAACAATTTTTAGTCCACGCCGGATATCTCCGATTTAGCCTATTTGGACTCCACTGGGTGCGAACAAAGGCAACGACCGAGACAAAAAAGGTATTTATCCCCGACCTGTGCGGATATCTATCCCCGACTGTCCTATAGCCCCAACCACATTTATCTCAGTCCTTGAACGGAGGAAGAAATAATCCCGCCTGTGCTGATTATCTCGGTTTCTCGGGTAGGATAGCGACATTTCTGGGAAATTCCAGTACAAGGAAATAACGGGCAATGACTTCCTTCTTCAACATTTATTACAAGTTCTTAGAAATAACAATTGGCTTTTATCTTATTCTTGGCTCTTGAAGTTTACTGTAATGAATACACTAAGTTTTTTACAAGAAACTGACTATAAGAAACGGGTACTGGGCAATCGAGAGCCTCAAAATTGGTAAAAAGTTGAGAACAAATTAAGAACAAGCTGAGGCTGAGCTTCTACAACTTTTTTTTCTCAAAATCGAGAATTTTGAGCCATGTGTTGGTGCTTTTTCGGTGAATATTCACTCCTGTCAGCAAATGAGGCCTGACTACCTCCCTTGAGTCAAAAAGCTAGCACTTGCACTGCTTACACCCTATTAAATTAAGAACAAGTTAAGAACAATCAAGCCTCAGATTTTCGAAAAATTAAGAACAGTCAGCTTGAACTTAAATTTACTTATAAAAAAAGAATGTAGGAGGCAAATTGGACTCGCAATTTACTTCTAGTAGAACAAGACTTTACGATCCTACTACCTAAGGACTTTTTTGACTTTAGTGTCTCAAGTGTATCACATGAGTGACATGAGTGTCCCAAGTGTATAATATAAAAATAGCCTTTTACTTTTTAATTGTGGCTCTAAGTGTGGTGGTGTCTGCTATGCACCATGCAGTATGGATTCATTGTATGCTACTAGCTTATCATGTTCTAAATGGGCAGTACCTATGCTCTAAATTCTAGAATGTGGGATGCCAAATGATCATCTACACTATCTGTTGATTTAGAATATGGACCTTACTTTATCCACCTTCATATTATCTCATCGGATTTTTGCAAATTAGAAGCTTGTCCAATACCACCTCCTCCCAGTCCTCCCTGTGGCGCCGCCTCTGACCTGGCCGTCAAGAGAAACAACATTAATTGACAAGGTTTTCAACGCAGCACAACTTCACATCGTTTTTTAGCCCGTAATCATAAAAATTGAGAAAGGCAAGAAAATAACAAATCTAATCGCCTTACCTTATCGCCAAAGTGATAGGTATGAGAAAATTCCCCAAAATAGCTTGAAGATATGGGGCAGTCCTTTTTCCGCTGCTTGCAAACACAACTAAAAGACCATTTAAACCATCGCAGATGCCCACTTGAGCCAGGAGCTTTTTCGGGAATTTCTTTTCGGTCTCCCCGATCAAATTTGGTTTTATAGCGATAATAACTAGGCTGCCTATCCCGAATATGATCACAAATAGCAGGCTTGCAAATGAAACCACGAAGTAACTGTCCACTGTAGGTGTGTATCCTGTTGAGTTGCTTGAGACGGAGTTTGTTGAGTCGATCCATAGCGGCAGTGTAACATTTTGTCCAACCTGACCAGCCACTGCAATTACTGCAAACAGAAGGTTAGCCCAGAATGAACTAATATGGCAGAATCCAAGATTTATACGCTTACTCATTGGGCGGTGCACATTTTCCTGCGAGGTTTTTCTGTCCATTTTTTTATCATCAGTAAAACAGCTGAAACTGAAAGGAAAGCCTTGTCAGCAGTGTCGCACCAAAAATCTGATCACATGATGTTTGTCTTCCGATAGAGCGAATTGCGGCTCAGTGACTTTATCATTGTAATTTTATTTGTGTTCCTGCTAGTGGGGAGTGAGGTAGAAATATTGGAGCTGCGGAAAATAGGAGGGGATGCGGAGGAAAAAAGAAAAGTGAAAATAGCGTCTCCACCACCTTTTATTTTCTTCCGCAGTTCCTTTTATCCTATCGTTAACATCACGTCTAAACTTTAGCGACTAAATTCAACGACTGAATTAAGGCCGGTTTACACGATCATATTCAGGTCACATTTGCATCACATATTTTATGTGATCACAGAATGTGATCGTGTAAACGACCTTACAAGTTGCTTGAAGTTGCACGAAGCAGCAAGAATTAATCCTTTTTAATTGCCTGTTAATTCGATGTCACAGATTTTTCATTTGACTAGCGATCAAATGGAAATGTCTGTGATGCAATTTTTTCAAAGGCGCCGACAAGTCTTTGCTGTCCTGGGTAGATCGGGAACTGTTTCGTGTTCATTTGTATCGACGTATTTGAGGAAAGTGACCTACGTTTCTAGAAAGATGGGCAACATTGACGTGGAATTAATTCCTGATACGCAATCAGAAGACTACGAAGAGCCTGCATTCTCATTTCAGGCCATTAAATCAGCTGCAGGCAAACCGTACCAAAGCAGAAGGAAAGTTAAGAAATTCGAATGGAAAGACAAAATTGTCGAGTTGGTTATTGACCTGTGGCAAAATCAGCCATTGTTATTTGAATTTGAATTTTAGGGTGCCCGTCAATTTTCGCGACGATACCCTTGAGATCAGTTCAAAATACATTTGAGAATATCCCCCCCCCCCGCTACGCTACTTATAAGAAGATAAATACTGATAAAAATAAATAAAGTAAAATCTTAGCGCTATTTTTTTTCCATTGACTACCAACAAATGATTTTTACCGAATGAAACAAAATTTACCGAGCTACAGCTCTCTTATCTTCCTCGCTCTCGACTTCCATTGACAACAAATGAAACGTAAAAATTGAATGAAGGCAGATCACTGATAAAATGCGCGCCAAACAGTTCCCGATCTACCCAGGACAGCAAAGACTAATCGGTGCCTTTGAAAAAATTGCATCACAGACATTTCCATTTGATCGCTAGTCAAATGAAAAATCTGTGACATCAAATTAACAGGCAATTAAAAAGGATTAATTCTTGCTGCTTCGTGCAACTTCAAGCAACTTGTAAGGTCGTTTACACGATCACATTCTGTGATCACATAAAATATTTGATGCAAATGTGACCTGAATATGATCGTGTAAACCGGCCTTTACTCAAAAAAGCCAACAAAACTTTACTCAACAGCAATTAAGATAATTAGGACAGTTATACAAAACAGAACAAAGGAGCTGATCACAAGACAGGATGTTACATGGAAATTGGCCAAGGTGCGAACGAAAGTCAAGCACGCAAATGAAATTCAAACAGCAAACAAGCAAAAGTTTCCTTGACGAAATTCTGTCCTTTTACACAGAGCCAAAACCCTAAAATATCTAGAAAAGCAGTATTTTTAAATGACAAAAACATATCTCCAAACTTCTTTAAGAGCCCCAACTTCATCATCTCAGCTAAAATTCCAGAGTATCAAAACCCGCACCCTTTCCTTTTTTGTGTTATCCCCTAGAGCAGAGCAAGGCCCTTTTACTTTACCGCGGAGTTATTGATGTTTTCTTGCCTATTCGAAAGTAAAAACCCATAATCTAATATTGACCAATTCCTTAACCGATTTTAGCTGACGAAATCCAACCACCCAGTCACTTTATGGCAGAAATTGGTCCATCCTGAGAAATCATTTTGTTTTTGTGGAAATGTAGTATTATCTTGATAAAAGTGAATTGCCCCTTGACAAAACTGAAAGCACTTTAGGCCAAGTTATTTATGTAGCTAGAAGGTTCGTTTTGCTATTCCTATTTACACACAGCTCAAGTTTTCAAAATTTTCCGACGTAACAATGATTTTTCCGAAAATTCGTCAAATTTTGAAAACAGAGAGGGCCACGCCCCCCTGCTGGCCCCTCTACCCCGGGCACAATGCCCGTGAATGGTTACAGTCAGGCACCGCGCAGCCATTGGGCTAGCAAGGGCTATAACCCCCCCCCCCCACTTTTTTGCAATAATAGGTTAGAAAATGTTTCGAAAGTTTATGGAAGTTGCTTGACTGGGAACCATTTATTATAAATATTTTGTGTATTTTATCTCATGTTTGTTGTTGTTACGTGTGTGTGATGATATCAAGGTTTGGTTTAAAGGCATTGAGTCATGGTAAATAGGCCTTCTCTAATCTCTATAGGGGATCATTTGGTTTCGGCGTGATCGTTGCTGTTTCATGTGATATTTGCATCCGTTGTTAACAGTTCCAGATCAACCAATAATATGTCAACCAATAATAGCCGTCAATAGTAGCACAGTCAAGAAAACCATGACTCGGCGGATTTTGGCACTTTACATGAGACCCGAAACGAAACTCATGCCGGCACGAGTTTTCATGCCGGCACGAGTTTCATGTCGGGTGCTGGTCTGAGCTACTGTTGTGATTACATGGCGTTGACCGAAATGAAACTCATGCCGGCATGAGTTTTCATGCCGGCACGAAAATCTCATGTCGCTTTTTCGTGCCGGCATGAAGTTTCATGCCGGCACGAAAGTGTCGTGTAAACAGATCAGTTTTTCATATCGGGGGGAATCAGTGATAAAATCGCCTCCGTTGCACAAATGCAGCATTTGGATTTGGTGAAATGTATGGCCTAAATTCTGACAACAAGTCTGAAAAAAATTCCCTTGACATTCTAAAGTTAACATGCCATTCTCCATCGCTTAAAATTCCATCCCAAACATTTAACCACCATGCACTTGTGCGACCAGGCTTTTTCCATTGTCGTCTTTTTTTCCTCAAAAATCTATTTCTTATGGCTCTGTAACGGCAAAGGGCGCGATTTTTATCTTCAACCGCAGCTCTTAACTTTTCCTTAATTTCTTGCTGTTGCAAGAATACCTGTATAGCTAGAAGCATTTGGCATTGCAGCGCAATGCAACCAGTTGTAAAAACTAGATAATTTAGGACTGTGATCAAAAGAAGTTTCCTTGGATCCTCTGCCGCCATTTTAAAAATTTACTCTCAAACTTTCCCGCTCTTTTTTGAGAAGCACGAAGTCACGTGAATATCATGCGAAAGAATTCGACAGTTTCATGTCGGGTTTCATGTAACGGCGAGCAAATTTCACCGAATTTTCATGCCGGCACGAACTCATGCCGGCATGAGTTCATTTCGGGTCTCATGTAAAGGGCCCCTTAGGGTATACCCAATCCATTTTATCATGACTCAATGCCTTTAAGTATCACCTTATCGACGAAGTTATCAATTAAAACAAAATTTTGATAAATCAGTGAATTGTAATTTCTTTAGGCAATGATAATAACGGCGCCACGTAGCACACCCCCACCCCACTCTCCCAGTTCTCGGGAGGATGAATTTTGTATTTCCTCTAATTTGGATAGGAAAATGTTGTGGGAAGAATATTTGGCAACGTACTTTTGTGACGGGAGTTTATTTGAAAACAATTGGCGTTTCTTTTTGGTAGAACGACGTTTTCTGGCGTTACAGGCCCTGTGGCCTAAATATTTTTGTTTTGTGATCCCGCCTCCCATTCCAAGCCTAGTGGCTGGCACCGCTACTGGATAAAACCATCAAAAACCACAAAAAATAAACCTTGGTTAGGGAAGGGTTGCCATATGGGATTTACAAAAGAAGGCCAGACGGGTGACAAACTCAGGCCAAAATGCTCATGAAAAAGGCCAAATTAAAGAAATCCCCAAGAATACGCTGTATATTTCCCCAAAAATATTTCCACACATTAGCCTTTTAGATAATTTCCAAACTCAAGCTGGACTTGCTACGAGTCTCTCGAGACTTGTAGCAAGTCCACACTCGAGCAAGAAGCTGATAAACTTTCTTCTTCGAACAAATTCCTTTGCTAATCGTTAGGTTAACTGATAATATTTGACTTTTGAGTTTACACTGTGTAGTATTGCTCTTTCAATTCATAATTTGTTTGTTACTTATGGTGTTAATGTTTAAGGAATAAACTCATAATATTCAAAAAGGCCAGAAAGGCCGAACTTAAGTAGCAGGCCAAAACCAAATTTTCCAGGCAATTTAACTCTGGAAAAGGCCAAAATTGGAAAATTTGGCCTGGAAAAGGCCAATCTGGCAACCCTGGGTTAGGGACGGCACTTAAGTTTCTTTTGATTCCATCAGCCTCCTACGTAGTGACTGAGTGTGACCACCATGTTTTCTAGGCTCTGTGAATCTCTTGTTTGTTGTTTTGTTTTGGCAGGGCCTCCGACGTTCTTTGCAAAACAATAGAGCTTTTTTCAAAATATTTTGCTGTAGTTGTTCGAATTCTCCTTTGGTCACTTTCCAATCTGCACCGGAGCACCGGAGCCCATGTTTAAAATAATAGCTCAACATAAGAAGAATACATTAATTACACAGGGCGATATTGTCAGATCTTAAAGTTTATAAGTAGCAAATATTGTGTGATGCAAAAATTTTAATCCCAGCGCAATTTCTAAAGGTTTGAAATGAATCCCTAAAATTGTCATCAAGTTTTTGTTCTAAAGGAATGCCTTCAATAGAGTTCTCAAGTGTGACGTCACAAAAAATTATTCTAGAATTCTCAAAATTTGACCACAGAATATGAAAGAACACCATAAAATACTCCCATGCATGCAAAATCAGTTAAATTTGTCAAAAATAGGGGAGCTATGACCAAGCTCATAAAGTTATGAACTGAGACCAAATTACAGAGGTTTGATGGAGGCAGGGCTTGTGCTATATCTCATCCAATTCGTAATACCTTTAACTGATTTTTCAGATTTTAGTGGTATTTGATGATGCTCTTTCAGGATGTGGGAACAAATTTCAAAAATGCTAAAAATAGATTTTGTGACGTCATCACTTGACAATTCTATTTTTGGCAAGATGGAAATGCTTAGAGATGTCAACTTTTAACCCAGGGCATTCACTTTAATGCAACTTGCACCCTCCATTGTTAAAGCGGATCTAATAACAACGTCAACTGGTAGAAAGCACACGAAAAACGATGCTGAGCAAATCTGTTTCACTGCTCTTAGTTTCCCTGCTTGATAACACCTGTAATAATGAATAATGATATATGTGTATCACTGTGAATCTGCTTGCCAGTCTACAGTATATGTAATACTGTAAGTTATTCATTCAATGTGATACTGTAGGATAACGATAAATGTGATACTGTAGGTTGTTCATTCAATGTGAACTGTAGGGCAATGATGTATGTGATACTGTAGGTTGTTCACTCAATTTGATACTGTAGGATAACGATATATGTGATACTGTAGGTTGTTCATTCAATGTGAAACTGTAGGACAATGATACATGTGATACTGTAAGTTATTCATTCAATGTGAAACTGTAGGACAATGATATATGTGATACTGTAGGTTGATCACTCAATTTGATACTATAGGATAATCATATATGTAATACTGTAGATTGTTCACTCAATGTGATACTGTAGGACAATGATATATGTGATACTGTAGGTTGATCACTCAATTTGATACTATAGGATAATCATATATGTGATACTGTAGGTTGTTCATTCAACGTGAAACTGTAGGACAATGATATATGTGATACTGTAGGTTGATCACTCATTGTGATACTGTAAAATAATGATATATGTGATACTGTAGGTTGTTCACTCAATGTGATACTGCAAGATGATAATATATGTGATACTGTAGGTTGTTCATTCAATGTGAAACTGTAGGACAATGATATATGTGAAACTGTAGGTTGATCACTCAATTTGATACTATAGGATAATCATATATGTGATACTGTAGGTTGTTCATTCAATGTGAAACTGTAGGACAATGATATATGTGAAACTGTAGGTTGATCACTCAATTTGATACTATAGGATAATCATATATGTGATACTGTAGGTTGTTCATTCAATGTGAAACTGTAGGACAATGATATATGTGAAACTGTAGGTTGATCACTCAATTTGATACTATAGGATAATCATATATGTGATACTGTAGGTTGTTCATTCAATTTGATACTATAGGATAATCATATATGTGATACTGTAGGTTGTTCATTCAATGTGAAACTGTAGGACAATGATATATGTGATACTGTAGGTTGATCACTCAATGTGATACTGTAAAATAATGATATATGTGATACTGTAGGTTGTTCACTCAATGTGATACTGTAGAGTAACAATATATCTGATACTGTAGGCTGTTCACTCAATGTGATACTGCAAGATGATAATATATGTGATACTGTAGGCTGCTTATTCTTTTGAAGAATTCCAAGTGTCTTGTTGTTCACTATCGGAAACGTTCCAAAAGAACTACGCTGCAAATTGCAATGGCTACTAGAAAAATGATTAACGAGTAAGTTACGTTAATTATATCCAGGCACAAATAATTTATTTGTAGTATAATGGAACAGTCTTTTGGCATTTGTTTCCCCTATTCGTGTAAAGGGTCAATCAAAACTATCCTCATTGAGACATGCTTCTTTCCTATACTTTACTTTTGAATAGAAGGACAATTATCAGACTTTCGACAAGTATCCCAATAAAACTTGTTTTAAAATCTCTAGCTTTCCTGCGATTGGATCGTTGGAACACAAAACCTATTTGATTTCGGCAAGAAAAAAACTGGATGTATTCAGAGGAACTTTTTATGAAACATTTTTGTTTTCAACAGGACTGACAGGCATTGGGTGCTGATGATAAAACAAGTCCACAATAATTTAACTGAAGTCTAAAGATTCATTTTGCTTGTTTGTTTGCTTACTCGCATCTATACTGTAATAAATTACATACCCAGAGATCAATTGGGAGAAACTAGAACTTGCAAGCTAGGGGAATTGCGGGACATGAAAAAGGAAATTTTGCCTTTGAAGACGGATAGATTCCCTTTGTTCTCGCATTACTGCTAAGTTTACTGACTATGACTACCAGAAAAAATTCACTGACAAATTAATGATTGTACCTGCTAACTAAAGACTGGACTGACCAACCCATAAACCGTATCGGAAACCCGCCACCATCCCCCTCCCCATCCCCACCATCCCCCTTCTCTCTCCTTCCGGCCACATTAGGTACACTTCCGGCTACAATACACACATTTTGTTAGAGGCGCTACAAAAAGAATCACCAATCACTTTTCAGATCCATCCTCTTTGGTCTGTAAACTCAGACCTATATCATAAATATAAATACATATATATAAATATAAGTACAAATACATATTCGTGGTTTAAACCTTAAAAAATGCAAATAAAAAACCATAATTTTTTGTCTTTATCAATCTGACTGAAAATTAAGAAATATTCTTAAAAATTACTTTTGCATAATATTGTGGTGAGTAAGACTAGTATCATCGTAAAAGACATAAAAATGTCGATGAGTATTTATTGTTCCTTAGTGTCTGTTGGTCATAAGATAAAACTGTTGCTTCGTATGAATTATTTTTTGGAAAATTGGCTGCATTGGCGTAGATGGAAGGGGCCGAAGGGGGCGAGAAACCCCCTTGTAAAGCTAAACTGCTGTTTTGTATCTTACTGTTACATTTTGAAAGGAAAGATTTTAAAGCTGAATTAAACGACTTCTTTATTAGTTCTGACACAAATTAGCAATCTTTTTTAATAAGATATGCTTTAATGAGAAGACGGACAAAACATTCTTTAATTCGCATGATTTGACACTTGATTTGAATAAATGATAAAGATTTACATCTTGTTTTATTTCAGAACTAATGTTGTTATGTTATGTTCAAATATAGGAAAAAACGCTTTTTAGCTTTTTTTAAAAAATCTAAATTTCTCGCACCTCCTGTAAATTTTTCTCTCTACGGCACTGATTGATAGGATGTTTCCCTTTAGGAAAGAAACGAATTGAAATTCAAAAATACTATACAATGCTTATTCTTCTCAATAACAGCTTACTTATCCCGGTCCGCACCTATTCCATACCCAGTTAAAAATAGTTTATTTCTTTTTGCAATGATAATCTTTTTCATCATGAATTTAATTTAGAAATATCTATTTCAAAGTGTAGATTCAATTATATCATTTATACTTATGTTCAAGTTGCAAATCTTTTTCAAGTGAACCGTAAATTTTAATGCTATAACATTCCTAAGTTTATGGACTTGAATCAGTTCCTTGACTTGCGAGAGAGCAACCGAATGAAGTATGGAATTTGACCGCTCTTGTTACCCGATCCGGCCATCGGAGAAAACAGTCAGTCGTACACCGGTAAATCGATCTGTGCAAAGAGTCGAACAGTCCTAGATGCTACCACCATACGCTTGAATTCCACTGTGCTAGCAGAACACCAAAGAATTCTCCAGGTGCTTTGGCCTTGACAGGTGGTTTCACGTGGTGCTCCTTGTGAAACCCTTCAATGATTGCTTCCACCGATAGAATCGTCCCAAGGATAGAGCCAGTAACCCCTATAACTGCTATGAAAATGTTCTTTATAACTTCTAGTTTGCTGATGCCGTACTTCCAGAAACAAAGAATGTGTAACAATGGTGGGAAGACAAGAGCTATAGAGGAACTGGAAACTGCACCGACCAATGCAATGAAGTTATCTAATTGTGGAATGGAAATTGCCAAAGCGCCTGCAATGGAAATAATAGTATTTTCTGAAAGCACATAAAAAATTCATATGAAGCAAAAGAGTTGTCAAAGCTCTGTTCTATGTTATTGAAAGTTGCATCCCGTCAAAAGTGGGGGGGGGGGGGTATCTCAAAAGAGGGGCGGTACGGAGGATAATGTACCCCAACACCTTGTCCGTCGGCACATCGGCAAAGGATTTTGTCGAGCAAAAGAAGAATTTTTTTTCTCACCCTGCAACTTTTTGCAACAATTGTAACGTATTAACAGTTCTGTAGTTGTTGAACTTTCAAAGTATGGTACTGCAGTATAAATTTTGTAATAAAAGGAGCATATCTTACGACCACACCCTTAAGGAGATACACATTCCCGAAACAACTTCTATACCCCTTCGAAAAGTCTTTCTTTGCTTCACCCCTGCAAAAAATTATAACTTTGAAAAATTAGTAAATCATTCAAGCTCTCTTTTATTAGCCCTCCGGAACCTGGGGGTGGCTGTGGGAAGGGCTATAGCTCCCTCACCTTTTTGCCGAACTATGATATTCAGGTAGTGACTTCAAAGATAATGCGGAAGAACTACCATAAAGCTTCCAATTTCCCTAGAGCTCATATTATATTATACACTCATATTAGGGTGTCACAGAAATGCAAAAGAAACTCCTTTCTCTTTGCCAACATCATTCAGATAAATCTCTAGTTTCAGTGAATCGGCAACTCAGCTTCCAATTTTTGCCTGTTCGAGCTTGTTTATGCGATTTCCTGGGAAGGTTAGGTCTTAACAGATTGTTTGCACGAATCGCCTTGGGAGGAGCGTAGAGTTTTCGCTGCGATGAAAACGATCTGAAAAGACGCATGCCCACGGTCGGTTGCAAAAAAAGAAGTGAAGATCGGCCTTAAATTGGTATTTATGCAAAAATACTCATTTCTGTGTCATCTTAAAGACTTACAAGTGAGCGTGACCATTGCTGTTCGCATGAATACATCGATTCCAAGTTTGCATTTCTCGTTGCCTTTCTGTAGTGGAGGTACCATTATTTGCATTGGCACGTAGAACTGGATGAAATACGTGAAAAATATTGCCATCATGTATGATGCTTTTACTATGACGTAGAACCTGAAACATAGTTGAAATTCTAATTTACTTTTCAAATTATTGGCTGTAAGAGAAAAAGCTAATAAATGTTATTCAAAGAATTACGCTAAACTTTAGTGTAATTAAAAAAGCTTTTGTAGCATTAGAGAAGTAGGTTGGTTTTTTGTGTAGATTGAAAGCTTGTAGCATCCAGCATTAGAATTATTAATATCTTGTGTACATCAAAACGCTTTGCACGAGAAAAGAATGTTCCTCATACCGAACCCGGCCTGTTAAGGAGTCGTCAACATATAGTACGATAAAGCTCTACCTGACCAGCATCTAAACTGGAGCAGTTCCTAGAGGTTTTTGCATATAGGAAGGGCACGAGTCTGATTGATGTTCACTGCTAGAGTACTTACAAAATTCACATTATAAATGTATAGCAGAAGGTCCAATTTATTTAGCATAATTCTAACTTACTATTTTCATAATATCTAATCTCAATGTAAAACATAAAAGCCCATTTCTTACGGAAGTTGTGGTAAATTCAGTGTAACGCTCCCTTTAATGTCCTTTCCAAAGGTTAGATAGCCGAAAAATCCCATTGTTATATATAACAATGCGACAAAGCCCATACTGAAGTCAAGGACCCAAAAGAAGTCTTTAGGTTTTCTCATCTTGTTCTCGACTGGCAGCACCTATTGAGAAATGTGCGAGTATCAGAGAATGTGAAGAAAGGACATTTAAGCAGGGGTGTTGTGTTTTGAAAAGCACAAGGTTCTAACAGGACCAATCACATGATTGATAGTAATCACTTGGCATGTTAATCATTATTTTAACGATAGAATAAACAAATGGATAAATTTTAAATGAAGAGGCGGATAAATATTTGAGACAACAGAGGAAGCTTGTTTATTATTCAAACGCTCTACAATTGCAGCCTATATCAGTGTCGGGGAGAGGGTCGCAAAAGTCGTCTCAAAGAAAGAAGCAAGAAGTAGAAATTGTTTAATTTTGAAATTAACGAGGTGGGTCATAAATATGTGTGCAGTTTGTGACAGTTGTAGACAATTTCTTTGCTCGCGAAATCACCTGTACACTCAAACCAGAAGTTATAGAGGGGGTGGGTGTGATACCCTGGGTATAAAGCCGGTCGTCTAATCTCGGTAAATTGAGGTTTTTTTTGCCAAAGTCTTGACTGCTCTCAAAAGAAAATTAAAACTAATTCTGCTGCTACATTTTCATTTTTCAAGCAACTTTTTCAAGCAACAAAAGTTTTTTAGGAATTTTGTCATCGTCAAAATAAGCCATACATTTACAAAGCACAAGCGAATGCAAAGGTTAAAACGAGTTCACTTTTTTAGATTAGGGAAAGATAATTAAGGAACAAGGAAGAATCTACGATAATATTTTATTGTACATATCCCGATATAACAAACTCTGAAGGGAACTGGAAATTGTTCGTTATATCTGGGTTTTGTTATATCGGGATTCCACTGTAATGCTACAACGAATTCGATTTATGCAGTGAAGCTTGCTGGCATTAAACAAACTCGTGCCTTATGTTAAATCTGAAAAAGAGTTTTCTTCAGACTCAAGCTCGAGTTTCGTATCTGCGAGAAGAAATGACAGATGACTTGCTCGAGCGGCGAATGAATGTCGTTAACTTACGGGCAAAACTGTTGACAAGGGTGGATCAGTTTGTAACTTTCCTGCATTAATGACATTTGAAGGTAAAGCTAATTTTGAAAACTTTATTGCTTCTACGAACTGTACAAAAATGGTAAATGCTGCCGCCTATTTTTCTTGCTTATCAAAATTCTGAACTTGCAGATATCTGGGCTCGTTATCTGACCACATACAGATATACAAAACCACACAATTGGTGCCATTGTATCAATGTCTTTTATTCCGTTTTAGCTTCATTGAGAAATATTCACGATTGGCCAAGGTCAAATTCTTCGGTTTTTTTAAGTAGAATAAAAATGGTTTTTCAAAAATAATTGAAACTTGTCAAATGAAGTCCCGAAACATTATTTCTGTCTGTCTTATCTAAGAGCTTGCAAGGATAAAAGTTGATACCTGGCATGGAGAGCCGCCTTAGAATATGTAATGGTGAATATTTGGACTGAAAAGAACCGCGAGTAATATCTGGACTAAAAGATGCAGTTCATAAATGTTAAGAAAAAGCCCGAAACTTTGAACTGCCTTGAAAGGTAACCCGTTTCTTTGAATATTGTCCACAGAGTCTTAGCGGTATGAACAGGAAGATCATAGGACTAGAAAGGGATGGAGGCCACGCTACATAAAGATTGGCGATGAACTGCTGAAAAGGAACCTAACGCTATGGATTGTGCTACTTTATGTAAAATTGTTTAAAATATAAGGAAGCTGTTTTGATCGTTCTTATAATTTTCTGCTTTTTGTCTGATCGTGCCCATAACTACACCCATTATCACATTACGAACTAGATTCTATTTTCAGAAGCATTATATTTTGCAGCCCCGTCACTGCCTACTTGCAGCCTACCTGCAGCAGAGTATCTTTTGGAAAAAGGGAATTAATTAGAATGAATTTTACTTTGTGATTTTGCTATTACATAGGACCAATTTTGCTATGACATAGGACCAATTTTTGAATTTCTCAAAATGAGTGTATTTCTTTCAAGATTTCAAACTAGCTCTTATTGTCGAAAAAATACGAAAATACTTTAAAACCCCTTCAACAGCTACATTCACTTTAAGATATCCTTATCTGGAAGAGATGCAAGTTTAAAACCATTATAAAGATTCTACTTAACAAATAACAATTTGTGGAAGAGTACTCACAATTCCAATGCCCTCATAGGCAAAAACAGCAATTCCAAAGAAAAGTGGAAATTCTCTAGGTGGCGCAAGAGCCGGGAAATCGTTGGGATTCTTCAGATGGAAAAACAAGTATTGATAGGTACCAACCAGTCCAAAAAGACAAAGTACATTTGCTATTGTTGAAAGGTAGGATATTGTCTGGAGTTCCCTTATAAGGGATATTATAAGAACAGGAGCAAAACACACCATTGTCCAGTAGCGAACGTCGATTAAACCGAACAGCTAGAAAACAACAATAGTTTAGCGGTTTATGCGGAGATTTAGCGAAGTGATGAGGGAGCAAAGCATACATGTTTTGAATTCAGGAACATTAGATAAATTAGCAGCGTATATATACAGCTATTTTTCAATGACATTAAGATCAGCAATGTCAATTTATTTGAACTTAATACTTTTGTTATCAACCCTCTGAAAACCTGGTAGCTAAGAAGTGAGGCAAATTAGTTATACCGAAAGATATGAGCAATTTAGCAAGTTAGCAATTTTCAACTTTGGTTAGAGACCGTTAAGGCCGACCTCCGATTCAATCTCTTTTTTCTCCCTCGCACTGGCACCATCCTAATTCCATTGTGAGTTTGCGCAATCAGTCTGAGAGGAGCCAATAAGATCAGGAGATTGCATAGCGCATGCGCTCGAGCAAACGAATGGCTGAAGTCAAGGTCGGCCTCTACTAGTAGTCATGTATTATTAAAAGAAGATCCATGATGCAGACAATTCAAAACCGCATGCCTGCAAAAGTTAATTCTACATTTCTCTCGCTAGGTACGCGGTAAAAGGCCTGTCCAAAGTTAAAAGCAAGGGAAATAAAATTTCGAATTTTTTAGACATTTTTAAATTGTATTCGGCCCCGGACCCGCAGTCCCTAAAACTTTCGCTGCGTTTGAATATACATTATTGATGTATTTTATCAAACCATGGAACTACTAAAAATCTTGTCTGATTCATTAATAAAAAAACATAAAAAGCTTCTAAAATCAAGAGGTTTAAGGAGGAAAAGCCTGTTTTTAATAACCGCCAAAATTTTGGCACTTTCCTCAGATACCTCCTATTCGTGTTTCAGAAAAAATTTATTGTTGTAAAAAGTTTAGCGAAGGTTTTTTATAGAAATATTTGTTTGGCTAAATTGCATTTAAGTTCAAAACCAAATTTGACCAGGGCGAAATTGACACAGTTTTACATAAATAAGCAGAGAGAAAAAGTGAAAGCAAGCTTAAATACCTGGTGAAGGTTTTCTGCAACGAAAACGAAGTACACGCAACAGAACCCCAGTTGAGTGACACATATAAACGTGTCTAGAATGCACCTAAAATGTTAAACACTTATGTATTAATAATACAGGCTTTGCATATAGAGCCACAATGGGAACAGCCGTTTTCGTAACTTCACTGAACAAAATTGTGCCACTTTCTGCGAATCGAAGATAATTAAGTGCCGTTGCTACGGTGGGTGTGTGTGTTTGTGTGTGTAGGGGGGGGGGGGGGGGTTAAACTACAGTGCTGTGAAATGCTGAAAAAGCTGAGCATCGATAGAACTTCCTTACAAAAAACCTGCTAGTACTGATGTCATGAAAGAAAAAGTTGTCCATATATTTACTTGCAAATTTCTAGAACCGTTTTCACAGGATCAGTTTTTTACAGCCCCATATGTCCGTCATTGTTTCTTCAATGTAAAAAGGGGGAACATGCGGCTATTTTCAGGAATAGGCCGGATTTTTCAAAACTGTCAGCGATAAAAGGAATTTGTCAAATTTTCCAGGCATTTTACAGAAGAAAGAATATTTGTTGAATACCTTGCTCTCGTTCCATGCTTTGCACCATAACCTTCCTTTACAATTTGTTCCGTGACTTCCCCGTAATCGCAAGATGTCATTTTGGTTCTAGAGGAAAGGATTAGTATCTCATACGTCTAATGAGTGCAATAATTTTACAATGATTAGAAATTTACTAAACAAAAAGGAGATCAATGTTTTAGATGCTTCACGGGCTAGAGTCCCGAAGGTAAATCTAGAAAGGTATTGATCGGAATAGGCCATTCAGAAAAACTCAATATAGTTGTCCAATCAGTGCCGGGTGCCTATAGAAAAATTACCACTGGAGTCCCAGTGAGAAAGTAGACTCCTTCTGTCTACACAATGGCGTTTTTTCGGAAGCTATGATTCACTTAATTACTCATTTGCGTCTGATATATTCAAAGTGAAAGTGTGAAAGTATCTTTCACTAATTAGCCACGGTACCAACAACTGAATCGATTCTGCTACTCAAGCCCTGTTCGCACTACTGACCCATTATACTGGGTTCAGTTTTAACTTCTTTTCATGAACTACGTAGAATAATCTTTCGTTCACGAAACCACTACGCAAAATCTGGCTCTCAAAAAGAGCTCCAGAGTGTTTATATGCTTGGTGCGTTTACAAGCGCTTCAAAAAGGATAAGCGAAAGTCGGTCATATAATCGAAGAGAAGGCTTTTACTCAAAGAAGGGTGGGGGTTGCTCAGTCTTTAGAAGACTTCAACTCCAGCTTGTAATTTCGAATCTGCTTTGAAGCATCGTTTTACCTTACACAAATGGCATGGCTGCAGATTACCAACAGATGCATGCAATGTACAGCAACGATTGCAAGAAGAGCCAAGCATATTGGACCAACCTAAAATTTAATGGAAAAAGTAAAAAGCGCAAATTGCAATGGTTCATTTCTTGTATGCTATGCGTTTACAGTGCTATGCATCAAAACATGTAACCTTGTATTCGCTTAAAATCTCCTGAAAGGAGGCTCTTGAAACGATCAAGTCCCGGGAATAGGGTGGTGCCTAGTCCTTTTTCCAGTCAAACACTGCGTTGACAGGCTTTGTGATAAATCGCTTTGGCATATGACCTCAAATATGGATTAAAACTTGAATATCTTGGAGATGCCAGTAGAGCTGCTGGCACAAGTGGAGCATTGTCTTTTTCAAACTCTTTTATTTCTTTAAGTTGGTATACAGATAAAATATCAGCTGAATAAAAGTTAGCCCTAACCAACTAGTACGTTAAGTCTCTTTTATTAAAACACAAATATTGATCAATTGGAAGAATCTAGAAATATGAAGTTAAAGATAAGTAATGAAATCTTACACAAATCTGAATGTGTTAAATTTTTAGGAACAATAATTGTTAAAAACCTCACTTGGAACGAGCACATACAATACCCCACAGGACACCTTACGTAGTATCCATAATGCATTTGTTTCGCTTTTTATCAACTATTGCACAAAAAATTGCAATGAGGCCTGTGCTAAAATACTTGACCCTCTAAACAAAAGCCTTAAGAAAGCTGCAAGGATCATATTCTTTGAAAAACAAACTGCATACTCTAGGCCACTTTTTAAGAAAATAATCTCCTTAAATTTAGAAGACACATATAACCTAGCATGCGCCAAATTCAAGTTTGACACATCCTAACGGCGCTGTAAAGATTTCTTCAGTAATTATTTTGAACTATCCAAAGACAGACAAAATACAAACACGCCAAGCAACCTCTGGCAAATGTTCTTTCACAAAAACTAGGACTAAATATAAACATAACTTTATAACAGCATCAGGATTTAAAACATGGAATAATATCCCCATCGACACACGGAACTCTACAACCAAAAAATTATTTGCTAAACGTTACAAGCAAATATTATTAGAAGCCTAATGATTGATGGATATATCTATTGGAAAAAGATCCCTTGACTGCATTTTTCTGCATTTATTTTCCATTCCCCCCTACCCCTCCAACATCTTATTATCATTTAAAGTATACTTAAAAATTCTGTTGATTATTACTAATAATATCAGGTATACCCAAAGATAACTTATTGTGGTAAATGAGAGCACATGGCTCGAAAGCTCTCGCAGAGTTCTTTTCATATGTCCTCTTCAACTTATATATTCTGACTTACTATATTGTATTAATTCTGTATTAGTTTATTAAGTTAGTACCTCTTGTTAAAACTTGATTTACATTGTTTAAAAGTTGAGAATTTACATAAAATTAAAAAAATGACAGAATAGAGCATGATACATCGTACTAAACTGTTTAACGATTAAAATTGATTTATCCGGTATGTATCCATACAAATCTCGATAAATAAATTCTTGCATTTCTCAATGATACATTAAGTGATCTTTATGTTTAAACTTTTATTGCTTGTAAGCGTCGATGGATTAAGAGAATGCCTGGGTTCGTTTTTACAAAAAAATTTCAATTTGGCTCGGTTTTTAGTTTGGTTAATAGACCGATTCCTAATTTTGCCTCGATTTTTGACTCTTTCCATAGTTTTTCACTATTTATTTCTTGCCTTCAACTACTATTTTATCCGAAAAAAAAGACGTCGCGGCTATTTGACCGCCTTCATTAAGTTAATCTGATACAGCTTGTTTTCTGGTACAGTTTATACAGCAAATTTTCTTTTTTCGTATCTTCAAAAGTAGCGTTGTAATCATGCAAAGTTTTAGCACAAATAAAGGGTGGGGGAGGGGGGGTTCAGGTGTTCACCTCCTATTTTGATACCAAAAGGTATCAAATTTCTGTCAGTGCTATATTATGTTTATATTTACAAGGGCCCCGGACCCTTTTCTATTTAGAATGACATCGCATGTTTGGGAACATTTACTTTGCTGCCGACTTCACTTTAACTACAATCATAGCTTGCTGGCATAAAGTATAAGCTAAACTACTAAGTGTTTGAAAGCACCATAAAATCAACATGGACCAGCCAACTGCAGTTCCAGCCAACTTGCTGGCTTTTGACAAGGATATAGCATACAACGTGATCTGTTTCGAGTAGTTAAAACTTGGAAAAATTGCTCCTTGTGCAGTGGCGAAGCTAGCGGTCATGCTGGTCATGCAGAGCATAACTAAAAATTTTCAGAGCTAAAGACATTTATTATAACGATTAAAACTTTTCTTTATTGAAAAATTACTTTCAAAACCCCTTTCGTCCAGTCTATTCTACTGCCCTTCCTCACCTGGGTCCCTTGTGGTTAGTTTCTTTGGTTAGCCATACAGTTTTGTCACTCAGAGAGCCCAACCGCTCCTGTGAGTCGGCTGAGTTTCAATGACTTTTCAGTAGGTATCCCTGTCATGCTCATTTGGAATAGCATGACCTCCTAGCACAGATTTGATTGGCTGAATTCTATCTTGCGCATGCTATTTTGGTCCGTTTTGGACCCCAAGTCATGCTCATTTTTTCAGCATGACTGACCTAAATCTCCCACACATGAAGTATCTAAGGTCTACTTGTGAGCTAAGAAACATTGCTGCAAGGGAGTGGGAAAATTCAATCGAAGCTATTTCCGAGAAATATATTGTTTATTAACTGCTACAGGGATCACTTGCGTGTGGCTGAGCAAAGTAATTATAAACCAAAATTGTAATTGAAAACAAAAGGCCAACCCTTATCGATAAAGAATCCTACCATTACACCATGACTTGTTGCTGATGGACGAACTTGTACCCTGAAACTTGCCTGTGTATTCATTATTTCACCAAAACCTCTTGCTCGTGGAATTAAATTTGCTTGTTTATTCAATATTACTCTATAACTTTTGTTAATACATGTAATTGTACCCTGTAATTTGCCTGTTATTCAATATTACACCATTGTTGCTGATGGCGGACATGAACAATCCGGAGAGCTACCATGTTTTGCTTGATGTCATGATAATGAAAATGTACTCTGGAATTTGCCTGTTATTGGAAACGTGACCATAATTTGCTGATGGATAGAATTTAGAAATGATTTTTAATCACACTATATATGTAGCTTCCACACAGCCAAACCTCTCAGTGCAGTTTGATTTCCCCAGTCTTTCTGTTGCCAGGAAAACTATTGGGTTTCTTAAACATGGAAGACCAAATTTATAGGAAAGCCCTTGATGTTGGACTTGGACTCAACTTGTCGATGTTTATGGCATGTTATAACTCCAATACAGGGATCAAAACTTTTTGTATATGCTAAACAGTACTATCCTTGATCCATTTGTTTTAGATATGTAAAAATTCAGCTTATGAAATTGAAGCTGAGTATAAAATTCTGAACCAAAAAACAAACACCCCACAATTCCCTGTATCATAAACAAGGAAGGGCCTACCTATCATTGAGGGCTTATCTTGCCTAACTCATCTTAATTCAGAAACATCATCAAAAGTGTCAATAATTTATAGTAAAAGAATAGATATTTCATAGCCATTGCTGACTTGAATAAGCTGATTTATCAAAAGTTTAGATTTTGTAAAAATATTTTTAGATAAAATGTTCTCTCATCTCCAATTTTCTTTCAGTGCGATCAGTATTGTTTGTTGGGGGTTTTCAAATGCACAATTTTTCAAAAACATGTTCCCAAAGATATGTCCAAAAACACAAGATTGGAGAATGGGGTGGAAAAAACATTTAGATGTTGAAGTCATTGACAGAATTGATTGCGATCTAAACAAGAGCTATTTGATTCAATATACTAAAATGGGCGTTACCCCCCTTTTCCAAGCATCTTTAGGGTGTGGCTGTGTGTAATTTCCCTGGGGGCTACGCCCCCAGAGCCCCATCAGCTTTCTGTTCCATACAGAGCATGGCCACAGTCTTAAGGCTAGCTTCGCCACTGTCCTTGTGTAGGATAAAGTAGAGACAATATTAACTGATTCATCAAAAGCATATGAGTGTATACCTAATGATCTATGACTGGAAAATTAGATAGGCCTGTTGATTTAAAAGAAATGTTCTGTTAACACTTCCCTTGAGAATAAGTTTCATTGTTAAAATGTGTGAATCAAACACTTACAATTAAACCAGAGTGCTTAACAGCTGCTGGCAGGCCAAGTATGCCAGTTCCAATGTTTCCTTTCAGAATATGCATTGACGTTTGCCAGTTTCTAAAACGGAAACAAACTATAGCAATATGGGTCTGCTAACAACTTATGGGTCAGATTGGAAATCGAATTTTCGCTGGGATTCAGGATAGAGTGGATGGTCACCGTTTTGTCAAGGTCTCATCCCGATAAATTTTCGTACACCTTTGTTCGATATGCTATTTATTTATCTGAAAACACCTTAAAAAACTTTTGTTTTCGCGGAAACTTCTACCCTGGGTGCCAGAGCCTCAGAGAGTCAAAGGATGAAGAACGGGGGAAGGAATTGCGAAGGAGAATGAAAGAGGAAAGGAGAGAGACGAGGCTCTGGATCCATCGTTCAACAACCTCCTTCTCGCTTACAACGTAAGCGATTTGGAATCACTTGTTCGAGTCCTACGCGCGATTAGGAATCACTTTTAGGATACGAACAAAGATTGATCGAGGAACATTGGCATATACACTCTTTTTTTTATAAGAAACATTCCTTCCCCCGTTCTTCATCCTTTGACTCTCTGAGGCTCTGGCACCCAGGGTGGGAAACTTCATGCGCTGTTGGAGAGACGGAATTGCCAGTGCTTCCAGTAATATAAGATGTGTCTATCATTTTGATTATCATAGCATAATAATAATAATAATAATAATAATAATCAATTTATTTAAAGTTGGCGCTACATAGCTATTTACAAAGAAATGAGCTAATCCAAGCCAACTGTTAAAACTACTACATCAACTAAATACATACGAGATTAAATGCATAAAATTTTAAATACAAAATGATCCATTAAAAAACTATAAAAACCTGAGCTATTTAAAAGATAGAATTACAAAAAACCAAGCTGTGGCACGAACGTCCTACATAGTTTGCATGTACAGTCTGTGCCATTCCAGCTTTTAATTTCTTTCTTAAACTCATTAATAGATTGAGCATTCCTTATGTGCTGAGGTAAAGAGAGCCAAAGACGCTGCCCTCTATATTTGATAGTTTCGGTTCCATAAATGGTTGTTCTTACTCTTGGTGCCATAAATTCATTATTATTTCTCAAATTATAAACAGCATGACGCTCGCAGAAAATCTCCCTCATAAAAGGAGGGTTGATATTTCCCTTTGTTTTAAACATTTCAATCATAAGATTTCGCAGGTGTTTTACATGAATATTTACCGAGCCATCATTTTCTAGCAGAGTGTTGAAGCTAGAATCATAGTCTTTGTATGCAATTCTCAGAGCTCTTTCGTGTATTCTATTAATCTTACTATTCAAGTGCCTACTGTGGAACATCCAGACTAGTGGACAATATTCGAATTGGCTAATTACAAATGCTCTCATTAAGATTTTAAGTTTATCAGCGTCCATGTATCCAGATATGCGAGCGAGGGCGGTGAGTTTCCTACCAGCCTTTTCACATAACTCACTGATATGCGTCTCAAAACTGAGTCTTTTGTCTATCACAACACCTAGTAGCTTTTCCTCTTCCGAGTTTTCTATGATAGAATCTCCTACATTAACTTTAACCTGTTGATTAGAACTTTTGCCAAGAATAAGTAAATGACATTTGTTTGTATTCAACTTCATAAAGTTATCAGCGAACCATTGGATAGTTATACTTGAGTCATTCTCTAGCCTTGCAATTACATTATTGAGATTTTTATCGCACGCATATAGAGTTGTATCATCTGCGTAATTGCAGATATCCGTATCCATTAAGGAGAGAAGTAAGTCATTTATGTAGATGTTGAAGAGGAGGGGACCAAGAAATGATCCTTGCGGAACACCAAGGAACAGTTGTTTGTAGGTACTGAATGATCCATTAATCTCAACTCTCTGATGCCAATTTTCCAAGAAGCTGTTAACTAGACACAGTGCATCATGGCTGAGTCCGTAAGCATCTATTTTTGCTATAAGGAGGTCATGTTTAATACAATCGAAGGCTTTCGAGAGGTCCATTAGGATTGCGCCAACATGTGTGCTGCGCATTGTACCCTTTACGAAAACCACATAAAAGTGACGATAAATACGATTGCATATAATCAATAATCTGTTTATCCATAAGTCTCTCAAAAACCTTTGAAACAGTTGGTAGTACACTAACCGGTCTGTAATTTTTCTTATTGGTTTTCTCCTCCGATTTGTGGAGGGAAGTGACATCTGCTAGTTTTAATAGGTCGGGAAAGACACCATTTTGAATGCAGTTATTGAAAATAAGCTGCAACGATTCGGAACAAATGTCAGAGCTATTTTTCAGCACTCTCGCGGGTATATTTCCAAAGGTTGTTGCCTTTTTAGGATTAAGCCCCTCAATTTCAGAGTGTATCTGTTCCACAGTAACCTCTTGGAATTTAAAGTAGCCTTTAATTCGAGCAAAACTGCGAATTTTCCTAATGCTAGGGTGTTTTGAATATTTCATTATAGCCTTTTCTATAGGATCTGATAAACCATCTGTACTTATGGTAACCTCCCTGTTCCCTGTCAGACCTAATGAGTCAGTTATCGAAATAAAATAATCGTTCATGGCTTCTGCAACTTCCTTATCATTGGAAATCATCCTATTATTATCGATAAGGGTAATATTTGAGTTCGATCGACTTTTATCGGAAAGGACAGGTTTTACAGTTTTCCAAAATTTCTTGTTGTCTGTAATATCAGAAGTATTCAAATTTTTATAGAAATTTCTTTTTTCCGTTCTAAATAATTTGACACACAAATTACGCTGTCGACGAAACGCTTCCCAATGTTCAGCTGTGCGGCTTTTATTATATCTATTTTTCAACCTAGAGCGCAGCATAGTAGCTTTACGAAGAACTAGATTCATGAAGGGACCATCATTGGCCCTTGCGTATTTTTTCTTCATCGGTGCATGCTTATCAAGTACCTTCTCAAAGCAATTTTGAAAAGAACTGTAGTCTAAATCAGTTGTTTTAATGCTAGCCAACTCTTCCTTAAGTTCTCGTTTGAAAGTCTGCTCCGAAAATTTCTTATATTCTCTATAGTTAATAACAGTAGGTCCAGCCTTTTGGTACGTCGTTTTCAAAACTGTGACTATCATTTTGTGAAAGTCAGAGAGACCTGTCTCGGTAGTGGTGGTATGTTGGAAGCTCCTATATCTGTTGGTTAAGATTAGGTCAATACACCGTGGATTGTCAGCCTTGAAACAGGTTGGCTCCTTCACCAGATTTCTGAGGTCATAACTATTCATAAAAGTACGAATCTGTTGACCTGTCTCTACTGTATTAAAATCCCCAAGTAATAAAAATTTGTCATATTTTTCACTGTAATGATCAAACAGCATTCTTCAGACAGCAAACTGTATCTATCATTTTGGATAAACTATGGCAGGAAAACGGGCAACCCTAGAGTTAAAGACAAGTTGTGTGAACCCAAAATATATGCATGAGTTGTATGAACCAAAATATCGAGTTGATGTAAAAAGTCAATAAAAAAGTAGGAAAACTGGGTAAAATTGGGATTTGTTTTTAAAAAGTATAATGACAGCTACTCGCTTAATGACTGTTTGAGATTATGAACGGACTGACGACCCTTAATAAAGATTACAATATATACAAGCACCAAAAACATCTTAAGTATAATTGACATAAAAATTTTGTATGCCAGGTTCCAGCTCTACGACGTGTGAAGAGTTAACATCGTTAGAAGTATGGAAGAACTTACTCTAGCATAAGAGACTTCTGAAGATCTTTGGTTATGGATTTATCGCTTGATTCCTCAGGACTTGGTGCTTCTGTTGCGCTATTCAAAGTTTAAGATGGTATTTTTATAAAGGTATAAGATGTCAACCAACAAACTGTAAATGTGTAACAAAGTGAAGATTAAGATAAAAAATAATTAATGATGTTAGCAGTATAAAATTTTTGAAAATAGGCTAGCCTGGTTTTATGAAAAGCTACAAAGGCAGTTGTGTATTATTAATAACTTTAGGAGTCCGTTACTTAGACTAATAAGGCTATCCAAAGGTCGATAAACAACGTAAGCTCGCGTGAATGTAAGAAACAATTTAAAAGGTTGCCAAATGTGAACTAAAGAAAACTTCACGTGACGTCATTGACATATCTAAATAGGTTTGTGGTGAAAACCTAGCATAACCTAACTAATAATGTTGTAATCACGTTGATTGCTTGTTTTACAGGGAACTTTAATACGTTTAACTGTATGGTGTCTTCTTTGCTGAAAAAATGAATTGGTTCCTTTTTGTTTCCTGAAGCTATAAAAAACTGCAGAATAGAGATTACTTAAAAAGTATCAGAAAAAGATTGGAGCTCGTAACAATCGCTGTTCAAGGCTGTCAAAGTTAACATTAAATGATCTGCTTGTCAATCGTATATAAATCAAAAATAATTTTTACAAAACATCTGCATTTTCATTTCGATGCAGTTACTAGCGAAATATTTGGCGGTCTGTCACGGTTCAAAATTTATATCACAGCAAGGAATTTCTTATGAATTTATTTCTAAATCCTGCGATAAAAGTTGCTGGCATTTTATTTCTTTCACAGAAAGGCAAGGCACTCGCTTTATGCAAACAAATTTTTGCAAAATTGAGACAAAATGAGATGGTTTTTAAAGTTAATAAAGAAATCTACAAATGTAATATACTGTCTGTGTTGTAAAATTGAAAAAAGGCTTTCTAGCAGTGTCCAACGAATTTCTTAGAATAATTAACATCTTTGATTATACGATTTTTTACATGGGATTAAAGTTCAGTCATTGATTCTGATTAATCAAAAAGCTGCCTTTTAAGGCCTACCTCAAGAAGGGTGTCGTGTCATCGTCTTCGTCCAAAGACCCATTAGAATAGGCATCCTTTCCTTCCAGCTGTCCTTTTGTATCCATTTTTTTGCGAAATTTGGCAAATAAAAGTTTTTAAAAGTGAATAAAGAATATATGTTTCTTGCTACAAAAACAAACCGCCCGCCATTTTGCAAAGTGCGACAGGTCAGCCGATCACATATTTACTGGTGGTGCCATTCAGTTTGAGCCTTAGAACATTCAGTATTGGGGCCTGTTTACACAGAGTTACCCGGCTGGCCGAAATCTTCCGTGGTCGGGAGGTGACAAGCCATTCACCAAGGAATATTTGACATGAGATGTGGAGATATGAGGCCTGTAAACAGCCGAGATTACTCCCTAAAATATTCGATGAATTGCAGTCAGGCTTTGTTATATTCGTCGTCACGATCTTTGAATTAAAGTTGACCTATATACCATTACATAGTTACCTAAAAAGCCAATTTGGCGGTATTTTGTGAATATTCTGCCGAAATCGTCACCCGAAATTTAAGAGGAAGCCAAAGTAAAGAAAAGACCATAAAGATCTCACTAAAGGGCCCAAACAACCACATAATGGGTCTTTAGCTCAACAGAGGCAGATCCAGATTGAATTCCTTGGTGCACAGAACTCAGTCAGTTTTCCAACATACAGCTAAAAACAGTGTTGCCTGAAACAAGTAATATTTAAATTAAAAAGTGAAACCTAAAAATTCTAAGTTTTATCACAGTCTCTTTAAAATCTTAAAATTGCCAGTTTCTTCTCTGTCGTGATTTGGAAACGATTTTCCAGACGCTGTGGAGGACAACAGCATTCCTAGAACTCGGAAATAGACGTTTTGTGCCTCGGAAGTGAATGAATTGAAACAATGAAGTTTTTGTTTGGAACACGGATGGAACTCACTAATAACATGATATGGAACTCGGAAATGATACCATATTTGTAAGAGAGCTGTACAATGGCCTGTAGTTGATTGGCTACCTATTGTTTCTGTTCTATTCATTTCAATTTCATGTGTATTCTCAGCTTAATTACAATATGCTGATTAAATCAAACAATTAATCAAGATATAATTTCAGTTATACTTCAATACATATAAGGTTAAGATATTTGAAATAATTATTTGTATCTATAAAAGTTATAGCTGAATGACACATGGAAATACTGATCTATTGTAGAACTGCAAAACATTGAATTCGAAATGGCGACTGCAGATGTCTTACTATACTCACGACCCCCTCACGACCATCGCAGCATTCTAGCAGATTATTAAGCATTTGAGATAAAACCAGGAGATATCGTTAATTTTCCAGGAGTGTAAACTACCTTTGCTTTTAATTGCAGTCTGGAAAACCTATGCTCAGACGGAACACTTTATTTTGATGAATAGGCTGGTGTCTACGGAGGCAAAACAACAAATTGCGAGCAAAACAAAAGGGAAAAACTTTGCTGTGGCATCCAAAACAAACAAAGGGTATCGAGAGAAAGGGAGGGGGTGGAAAAATTTTTAACAGAGGCACTGTTTTTTGTCGGAAAGAAATTTAGAATCTAGATTTAGTGAATAGATAGTAGCTACTCCCCCCCGCTCCCCTCAATGGTACCAAAATGCATAAATATTAATATTGATGTTGTCTTTATGCACAATGATCAATGCATTATCTGAAAGTCCCTAGCCTTGGCCTGGAACTCAGTCAGGTTTTTTGCTGGATCCGCCCCTGCTCAAGTTTTTTCAGGATTCCGGGTCGCTTCTTGTCTGAGCTAGATCTCAGGCTAGGTTACGAGGCTAGGTTACGAGGTTCCTGTACGTGGAGTTTCCGATGCCACACCTGCGGGATAGTGAGGTACACATCTTTCAAAGGAAATCACTATTGTTTAACTTCCTTTATTCAATTCGAAATCACGGCATCTTTTAGGCTTTTCTTTCTCCTGCTCTGATGTCACAATTCAACAAGGAAGTTTATATTATTGCACAATCGATTTCAATGGGAAGCAAATCAATGACGTAATCAACGGCTCAGAAAAGCTAGCTTGAAGCCTACAATGCCCGCAAAAAGTACTTGGAACACCCAGCAATTTACGCTGCATTTGATATCTTTCATTCCTTTGATGAAAAAAATACTACTTCCGCCTCCATTCCCCCTAAAACAATGTTGATAATTTAGAGAAATATCATAAAAGAAGCGCAAAAAATGCTTCCTGAAGTCCTAACCCGTTTAATAGTAAACCAAAATATTGTTCTGTAGGGGAGAGGGAGATGATTTTTTGTTCTTTCTGACCTTGGACATTGACGTCAGTGTTCCAAGACTTGTGGCAGGCGTTGTAATTTTTAAAGTTCTGGTTTAGTTTTGGACCTCTTTTGAGTTTTGATTGAATTTTAAATTCAAGTTCCCATTTGATGCCATGAAAATTGCACATAATCCACTGAAATTCTGAATTTGTGTCGGTAGATTCTTAACTGTAAAAAAAGCAAGATGAGAAACAGAAAGAAAACTAGAAAGGCGTTTGATATATGAAAAAGTGGGAAATTCAATCAAAACGGAAAATGAAAAACTCGAAACACTTTCGCACCTTCGATTTTTCACTCCAAATGAGGGGTTTCCTAGTTTTGATTGTTTGCATTGATAATAATGTTGAAAAATGAAAAGTTCCATGGGGATTTTAAAAATTATATTAAAATAAAAAAATAATTAACATAATTATTTCTGCCTTCTACAGGTTGAGATAAATAGCATAATTAAGAATAATTAGATTTACTAAAAAATACTTTTTTAAAAGATCGGAAGAAGTGTAAATTAAAATTGTATGAGTTGAATTGTCATTTAATAGTCAAGAAGCTTTTAAGATATATACAAAAATTGCCACAAGTTATACCCTCCTGATTAAATGATTTTATTGAAGCTTTCTAAATTCTAAACGCACTTTTAGCAGCTATATGTAAAACAGGTAGCTTTATGACAGACCTTTGACAGACTGCCATTTTCTGCAAACAATCCCATGTTTGGTGCCCCCCTGGTCAGAGACAATTTATACTCTAGGTTTTGCCTTGCTTACAAAGATTACTTTCAATTTTTGTTTCTGCGGAAGGAAGGAGTTATTTCGTTCTATGCTTTGCATCTTTACCGCTTGCCAAACAGTAGGATTTGGAAAAATGAAACATTGGAATTGTTCGAAAGGATACCATCCTTGTGATACTTATCAGGATGCAAATTCGTAGAAATAATTTTAGGTATATTTTAATGACGACGACGCTACTTTTTCTTTCGGATTGGAAGGAAAGTCTAACAGGGAAGGGCCAAGGGCCAAGGGGGGCTGAATATATCAAAGTGTTAGAACGATTCGAGAGGGGCATTGTTCAAATGTACTTGCCATCACGTGATAGCGCGGGAGAGGAAATGCAAAATCATTCTTGCGGGAACGAACTTATAAGTGGACCTACTCTAGAAACGACGTGGCTGTTTAGAAAGAAGGGGAAGGTTTTGATACATTTATTCGTTAAAAAAGATATCATTCTACCGGAAAGAATTTTGCAGAGCGAAATTTATGACTGGAGTGATTCACGTGTTGTACGAAGTGCTTCTGGCTAGGCCCAACTGATGTAAACAGGCAAGACACTGCCACGGAGATACTAGTTCCTTGTTTGTTTTCAAGGGCCAGATGGATGGAATTTGATACTTTTATACAGTTCGTATAGTATTTAGTAAACTGCAGGCGGTCAAAAGAGACTGTTTACCGGAGCTGATGGCAGGTTCAAGTGTGAAGGTTGCCGTTAGGGCAAGACCATTGAATAAGAGGTACGAACCGTGACTAATTTTTCATTTCTCTCATTTACCTGCGTACCTCTGAAGAATACAGGCGCCTAATTGATTAACCACACTTGTTTTTATGACAGCACAATTTTTTTCGCAGTGGAAAGTACAGAGAAAGATGCAATGTACTTTATTCTTACCATACGTGTTACCACTTTCGTTTCTATGGTCATTCCCACCCCACAAAATAGTCAATACCCAATGAAATCTTTTCCGTTTAGAAGTTTTGCAAATTTGTAACATTACCCGAAGAATAATGGGGACGAGCAAATATAATTTAGCAGGTGCAGGTGTAGATCAATTCATTATTCTGGGCTGTTTATTTTTTCTGGTATATTTTTTCGAGGAGACACAATCACAGCAACTGAAAAATACATCCGGATGTTTGGAAGCCAATAATATTCAATTTTTGTTTTAGCATGATATTTTGGGGTCATTTTATTGTTCAACGAGTCTCAATGATGTCATTTCAAAAAGAAACTGGCAGGGTTACCAAATTTTGCACGAAATATAGCCAATGCGACTTATTTTTAGCTAATTACACAAAATATGCAAGTGGCACGCAAACCATCCTCCGTCTGAGTTTCAGGCTGTGACTAAATGGTAGTGACTACTTCTTATCTCCTTTCTTTTCTTTTTCATTTATTTCTATTCACACATTGGTTTTTTAGTGTTAACCTCCTTTAGTGCTAAGATATTTTTGGGGGTAAACATTTGACTTGCAACCACATGCAACTAAAGAGTCTGAATTTTGTAGTTTTTAGACCAAAATTTTTGCATAGCAGCGTTTGACCGTGGTTTGAGGCCATAATTATATGTAAAGAATTTACAATAAAAATATTTTCGCACCCTCTTGTTATGGCAGTTACTAATACATATATTGTTTGCAAACCTAACACCTACTAGGCCGCTGCCTGGCACAAAAGAAGGTTTTTTAAAGTACCCTACACAATTGTTTGGACCTCGTGTCTGTGGTGTGAAGGGAAAGTCATTAATCAAATCCCTTATCGAACTGGTTTTTAAGTACATTTTCTAAAACGCCACACAAATGCAGTAAAAATCGAAACAAAGGTCACTTTCATTTTGTTTCTCACGTGGTGTTCTGAATAATCCCTGTTTTCTTTTTGCACTTATAGTATCCCACGAGAATAATTGGCCTCCAAATTAGATCTTAAAATAACAAAAAAGACGAATTTTTAAGCAAAAAAGCCACAGGAAGTGCCCTCTTTGCTTTTGTATCTGTTGCTACCTGGTTTCCGAGGGGTTTATAGGACACTGAAAAGCTGGGCTCATCGAGAGGTGAAATTATAAAGCGCTACCTCTACTCACTCTATTAGGGGAAACGTTGGCCCCATTTGGGAGTGTCCAACAGCAGAACCTAGGTTCTGTTGTCCGTGACTCATACCCCTTTTGGTACATCAAATAATACATTTTTGTTTGGGACCAGGACCCCCGAGACGGGGAGGGGTAGAGTGGGCAAAGTGCCCCATGAAAATGTGTTTTAAGCTAGATTTACAAGCATTGTCACGAAATTTTTCGAGGAACAGAATAGACAATCATTGAAAAATAAAAATAATCTTTAATTCCGGTTTGATGCACGAGTGAAAGTTATAAAAACTGTGCCTTTCTCTCAAACATTTCGTTTTCATTTCGCCACAATCGTGTTACACTCTTTTTTTTATAAGAACAATTTTATAAGAACACGAGCCTCAAAACTGGTCAAAAGTTTAGAACAAATTAAGAACAAGCTGAGGCTGAGCTTCCAAAAAATACAATTTTAAACAACGTTTTTTCTCAAAATCGAGGATTTTTAGCGATGTATAGGCTTTTTCGGTGAATATTCAAATTTGTCAGCAAATTAAGGCTGTCTCACTTACTTTGTTGGCAAAAAAGGCCTGAACACCTTCTTAGAGCGAAAAAGCTAGCAATAGCACTGCTTACACCCTCTTAATTTAAGAACAAATTAAGAACAATCCAGCCTCAGATTTTCGAAAAAATTAAGAAAAGTCAGCCTGAACTTAAAATTACTGGTTCTTATAAAAAAAGAGTGTATTTGATCTTGACAACATACTATATGGTTGATTTTCCTTTTATCCGAAGTTTCATTGATCATCTTACTACAGCCGTATCGATACAAAAACCAAATAATATATATCCCATTTTCTCAAATAATGTCAAAGCTTCTCAGTTATTTTGCCACTCTACCCAACAATTGTCGCTAAATTAGTATGATTTCTTTGTTTTGATAATTTTTGTATTTAAGGGTCACCTGTGCAGAATTCTTTGAATATCTTGATCTTTGAATATGTTCGCAAAATTTATCTCATACAAAGCTTTGTAAAATATTTCCCATGAATGTTTTTTGCTTATCCTCAGAAAACAGTGGCCCAAAAAGCCTTCCTTTCAAATTTTGCTTTTTGTCTTTAAAGTTTCCAAAACAACATTGTTTTTATTTGATTTGTTTTTATGTGACTTACAGAATTTTCCTTAACCAATTTCTATTGGAAGTCTTTTAAAAGTATATTGTCCGAATCCACTTTGCGAACCCATGATAAGCATGCTTTTAACGCTTTTTTTATAAGGAACATCTTTATAAGGAACCTACATTTAGAAGGCCGAAATATTTGAAGAACTTATACTGCTTAAAACGAAATCCTTAAGGAACTTTTCAATTTGAAAAATGTTTATAACTGCAAGCATCAAGAACTAAAAAGCCGGTTCCATTCATTTGCAGCCAATACTCCCATAGATTGTTTGCTATTCGTGTGTCAAGTGCTTCATTGAGTAGTTTCTGCATATGCTGTCTCACCCCTCTCTCTATTAAGTGTTAAAGGCTTATTGTAGTCAAAACACCGAAAGTCAGATTTTCACTATACATAGCCTTCTTGTGTTTTTGCTCCTGAGTTCTAGCCACAAGTAAAGGCAAAATTCATATTTTTTATGTTATTCCTGTTTCTGTACAATTTTTTTACGGCTCTTGATGTGTAGCGTAAATTAAGGAACTATTAAGGAACTTTTGGTACTACAATTTGATGATTTGAGGTCTACGAATAAGGTACTTTTGGAACTAGGCCTTGAGGTAGGTTCCTTATAAATAAGCGTGTATAAGGACTATCCTGTTGTAATTCTAGTAAGTTCTTTACTAACTGAGCAATTCAGGATTATATGGCAGTCTTTCACAAAGCCAGTACATTTTTATACCCATCTGGTAAGCTTGAATTCGACCCTCGGTGCTTTGCTGAAGCCTAGTAACCAGGCCTCCTGAGATGAATTGTCTTTTAAGTGTTGCTTTTGTATTTCTGGTTAAAAACAATCATTGCTATCAGTTTCTAGATCATTTTATTATTCGCTGTCTCATTGCCATGACATCCAGCAAGCGTGTGAAATATGGTCGAGAAATCATTTTAAGCCTCTCCTAAACTTAATGCTATCATAAGAATGAATTGTGGGGGGGGGGAGTTTGGGGACGATTAAAAGAAAGATTTGGGGCAGGAGTAGGGGCGATACAGGTGAAGGTGGCAGGGGGCCGCACTTATCTATTTATTTTGCACTAATGGCCATATCGCTGTAATTTGACCAGCTGCGTTAAATATGAATAGAAACAGGAGACCACCGGTCACAAATGTGCGAACTTTACTCCTCTCAGTGTCATTGATACGGAATCACTTCTTTCCATCTTGAATGGATCACAGATTGAGCTGACATGACCCTTTAATGGGGTTAAGCCGTTATTCGTATAACAAAGAGATACTAGTATATCATCTAGACAACTAAAGGTGGCTAGGGCTTTAAGGGACGATCCCCGGAGGAAGTACAAAATCAAAGGCTTTTTGAGCTGGGCTGTGTATTTAAATAGCACGCAGGTTTTCCTACCCCGTCCCCCCCCCCCAATTCTCTGCTCGAACGCCAGCGGCTCTTCAGATTGTGCCACTGTTCATTATTACCACCTCTCTATATTGATGAACTAGCAAGATATGGTTGCCATTATCATGATTGAATTTCTAGTCTTCTATCAGCTAATTAGCAATGCTTTTTTCTGTCTACCTAACTGCCAGCTGTTTTTGTGTGCAGTTTTACTATCGGAAAAGCAAAACCTGTCTTGTATATATTGAGCAATGAAGCCAATACTTTGGCGATGTACCCGTTAAAGAGACTAACTCCACTGTCATTACCCTTCTATGTGTTATCAAATACATAATTAAGAATGAGAATTCTGCGTCGTGACGAGGCATCTTTTGAGAGGATAACAAACAAAATATCATCAACCGGCCGTAGCATCCCATATAACCAGCCATTCTAGGATTTCCTCATGCGCGCCAGTTATGCAATTTTTTATAGCCTCGCCTACAACTGTTTATTACCTGTAATCTCTCACTTCTACCGTAAATCAGTAATGTTCATTCAACACGGATCGTCAACACGTCGAGCATTATGCTCTTACTTTATTCTCAGACGCTTCTCCGCTCCTCCGCTCCTCCGCTTCTCTGCTTCTCCGCTTCTCTGCTTCTCCGCTTCTCCGCTTCTCCGCTCCTCCGCTCCTCCGCTCCTCTTGTCTATTTTCGCACTTAAACTTAGATGGCTCTGGTACTCAGGGTACTGTTGGAATATCATGTTAATAATTGATAGAGATTTTGATTGATTAAAGCTTCAAATTAAATCTTTTTTCATGTTCTTTCCTGTTCGGTTTACAATCATTCTTCGCTAATGTTTTTAGGTTTATCTATTTGTGGTTTCATTTTGATAGAAAGGCTTGTAAAGTTAGGTCGACTTTAGTGTTATTCAGGCTCACACAACAATACAGTGTGCTCGCATAAATCCCGCACGATTCGGTCTTTCGTATCTCCTCATATTAGGATAAACTGAATGTGAATAAAGCTTACTTCCAAAGCTGCTCCGACCTTTTTTATCAATGTCAATGTCTGGACAGTTTCTGGACACAAGATTCAGAATGCCTGAGAATTCTTTGAGTTTTTTTCCAAATTACTATTGTTTCAGCCACTTTCCCCACTGCGATCGGGGCTGTTGTTAGCTAAAGGGCGCCGAGGTTCCTTTTACTGACAGTGAGCAAGTCATCCTTTATTTCCCTACAGGTTTCAAAAGTCGCTGATGAAGCACCCTTCGATATAAAAAACTCCTCCAATGTATCGAAGTTTTAGTTCAAGGAGGTTCCACATTCCTCATGCCTTTCCAAAAAGAAGCAGCTCTGAGAGCAAAGCTGTATGTTTGTGTGACAATCATACAAGTGACATGGGAACATGTTCTTCTTAAAATTCATCTTCCCTTTATAGATTGTTTTTAGAGGGGGATATGGTGTAAGGTGTTAACAGGCATCACTTTCCCAGAGATTCTTCCCTTGAGATTAAGGGGCCCTTAACGGTGATTGAGAAACTTTAAAACAGATCGAGGGATCCTTGGATGCAGATGGAAGGATAGGCGTTAGATGCAATTGTATCCCAGCATTCCTTGAAAGTCCCCAACCGAATCGAGTTGGTGAACCCGACCTTGTTAATGGACGTTGATGTTCGAAGGCGATTGCCTTTATCCTGACCATTGTGCGATATTGTTTCGATTTTAGCTATGTACCTTGAAGTAGTGAATTTATTAGTTCAGAATCATTTTGAATCACTTGTACCATTGCTCAATCTGTCTATAATTTTTTTTATTGTCAACAGGGAGATAGATTTGGGTGCTGAGATTATTCTGTCGATGGAAGACAAAAGCGTGAAGATTGTGAATAAAAAGGTCAGTATGTTGCTTTCATTTTCATCTCTACAAAGAAAATTGCAATCAAAACGATAACCGTGAATTGTGAAAATCGGTTCGATACAGGCTCGCACCCTTGAGGGGACTGTGGTGATAGGGATCCGCAGGGAGGACGTTTCCGCAATTAAGGCAAAGTTCTCATGGAGAGAACTTTTACTGTTACTGTTGAACGAATAGAGTCCGGAAAACATATCTCTGCTTTATAAACAGAGCTCGGTCAATTTCCACGAAGAAGGCCAATGAATTTATATTTAAGTACCACGCCCAAACCCGCTGTGTTTTCTTTGTTTTTTTGATAAAGGTATCGCAAGCTTGAAAATTTTGTCCGGAGTAAGAGTGCGCACATCTCTGGACACTGTATATGAAGTACATTATCCTAGAAACCTTAATTGAGGTGACTATGTTCCGTAAAAAGGTCAAATGCAGCAAAACCCCAAAGAAGATAATTTTTCAAGCTGAAATAGGCTCTAGACTATAAGCTGATTGATCAAGGAAAGACAGCCTGTATGTTACAAAATTTCACCGCCGAGATTTACTTTTTTGGATACAATTTGATAATCATTATTGTGAGTTTGCAGGGATTGTGGAACGCTGCGTTACGGATTGTGGAACGCTGTGGAACGTTAGTTACAATATGGGTCACTGACATGTAATGTCTCATCTGAAAACGTACAAATAAACATGGTGATAGTGATTGCATAAAACAAAGTCTATCTGTTTTGATATGTGTACCAAAAATTTTTATATGGGCAAAGGACTGATCAAGTTTCAGATAATAAGTTCTTGTCTGCCCTTTTGGTGTTTTGCCCTTTGTTATGGTATGTGAAGCAAGACAATCGCACCCTTGCCCAAATTTCTGTGAAACAACCAATCAAGTCAGACCAATTCACATTAAAACTATCTTTCCCAGCCAGCTATAACAACCACTGTCCTTTCCCTGCCAGCTATAACAAAAAATTGTGCAACAGAAAATTTCTATCTTGTGGGTGACCATATCACTATTCTGGGTACTTTGTAGAGAATTGTGGAGACTCTACCACCCTAGGCCACATATCATAATCGTTTCGACAAAAGGTTTATTTGAATGAGGCCTCGTCAATCAAATTATCTTTGAATCCATAAATGTTTCTTTGCCGATTGGCTTCCCAACACGTATTCGATGAATACGATATCGTTTCCGAAAATTTTCGAATTCGTCCCCTACAAATACCAATCTGATAAATTGTGGACGCGCGAATCCAAATGTTTTTTAATACGGTGACGGAATATTATTGATATGGGGAATGTATTGTGAACAAGGAAGATAGGATAGGGTGCTTGAAAGCGATTGTTAAAGTTTATATATGGACAGTGCTATTGCATAGATACGAGTCTGAAGCGGTAGAAATGTGGTTTTGTTGAAAAGTGGTGACGAATTAAGGGTCTCGCCCATAGAAAGCTGAAAAATGAAGAAACTTCTAATCAGGATTGGAATGATAAGACAGCGGCTGAGCACTATAAGAAGGAGACAATGGGGCAGGTGTTGAGAAGAGAAATGGGGGGGGGTGAGGGGGTAGCAAGGAAGATTATGGAGTTAAGATTGCCAGAAGCATGCAAAAATAGAAAAAGATTGGAGATGGTTGACTGGATGATGAGACTGGGTGTTATAATTTGTGCGTTGGAGATGGAAAACAGGGTTGCCAGATTGGCTTTTTAGGCCAGATTTTTCATTTTTTGTCATTTTCAATTTTTCATCTAAATTAAGAAATAATCTAACAGGCACAAGCGTAGAAATATAACCAGTGCCTGCTCGATGGATTCTTGAGAAATTTTTTGATTTGGCCTTTTTATGAGCATTTAGGCTTAAATTGCTCACCAGTCTAGCCTTCGTTTGTAAATTCAATCTGGCAACCCTGATGGAAAAAAACTAGGCAAAGTTGCAAGAAATGATGATACGTCTACGCCATTCGATGACATGACGCAAGAAGAAGAAGACGATATATTAGCTTCAGTGCATGATGACGCAAACTCTAATTATGATATTCACAGAGGAGCGTGGAGCCTACGGTGAATCCAAATGCGGGTTTGAGTTCGAGTTTGGGTTCAGATCTAGCACAATATGACCCTCTTGTAGATTGAGTTTTGTGATGACGTCACATGTTTTGTGTCGACGTCACAAGAATATGTTTTGAGCACAGCGGACAATTCTTGGTTGACGTGCTTCTAAGGCCTATTTTGGAAATCTTCAACAGCCCTCGTTTGAAGTTTAAAATTTGATAAAAAGCCTGGGTCTTCGTCTCAACTTAAAAATATGCTTTCAGACATAATTCCTTTAGCTATTCAGACCTTTCGTCAAGAAAGACCAAAAACAGCAGTGATATCAACCTTTAAGATGAATGCAAATTCTTTCCACAACACTTCCATGTAGTATTAAGCCATTTTTCTCCAGATTGGCATGATAAAAATCATTCTTTATAATTGTCCTTTATATGCTTATTTTGATGATATAAATAAGCCACCATGTCATGGTACCCCCGTTAGTTCAGGACTAAGGGCCGCAACACTCATAAATGCAGCCCAGTAGTATTCCACAGACTTCCATCCAAAGTCTTAGAGGACAAAAGCTGGCTTTTACACACATATTTCGACCTTCAAACCTTACATTTCCCATAGCCCCTTTTTCGCTATAAAGCCTCTATTTCTAGTGAAATTTTACCGTCTAAACAGTGATAACGTTGTCGTCAGCTGTTTTTAGTATTTGGACGATAATGGAAAATAATTTTTAATTGCCATCCTTCTTTTATTTGTTCACCTGCAACGATTATCCGCCTTTCCATTTATTTCAGATATTGCTTACATCTGTTTGAAAGGGTTTTTTATTTTCTTGTGATATTTATTTGGTTTCAAATCTCTTCTGCTCACTTCTGAACAAACATATTTCAAAAGATGTGGTGTCTGTATTTGCATGGAATCGCTATTAATAAGTAATGAGCTTTATAAACAGAGAGCCTTATCAGATGGTCAGCGAATCTGGCGAATCTGGCGATTCTGTATATTGTCATATAACTTACTCTGTATATGGGATATTGTTGGCGAAATTTCAGAGGTTGTATCACAAAGTGATTTATATTTAAGTACCACGCCCAATTTATATTTAAGTAACTACACGTGATTAAAAAACAGCCTTCCATTCACATTTTGAGCAACCGCTCATCAATCCCATGAGTGCTAAAGAACCATCTAAAGGTTACGTTTGTTGCAAAATGAAATTGTATATATAGAACGAGGTCATTCATCAAACTGAAATGCCCCCTTCTTTTGATTTTGATGATTTTTAGAAGCTCACTGTCAGTTGAAATTTCAATCCGCATTTTTAGTACAAATTCACGTCTTTAAGGTTGATATCAAGATTATCTTTTTACTTGCACCTCACATTCCTAGTTTAGTATTAGGTTTGATTAGTTGGGGGCTTTGATTATTTTTATCGATCCCCGATATTTGTAATTCAGGCCACAGACATTAAAACAGACGCCGAAACACAAGTTGTATAGTGTGCATGTATGGTCCCCCCCACACTTGGTAGACATTGGAGCGTATATACGTTTGATTAGCGGGAGGGGTCATGCTTATCTTTCACACTGTCTATGCAGGATGTTTGCTACTTGGACAAATACTCTCTCCTCATATCTTTCAATCAATATTCATCTAATGATATTATTATTTTATTTGTTTCTTTATCGTTTATCGTTTTTTTTGTTAATTTAATTTGTATTCTCATATCTAATACTTTTTGTTCATAATGTGATATTTAATATTTCGTTCTTGCTGCTGAGAAACTCGGATTTGTTGCTGAAAGATTCTGATATTTATTCATAGTAGAGGAATTTTATTTATGAAATAGTAGTTTTAATCACTGTGAAACGTCTTGAAATACTTTAACATCCATTTTCAATTGTTAGGAAATAGCTAATATTTACGAATGAGTAGTATTTTCAACCTTTTTGAAACTTCTTTTTAATTATCCCCCCCCCTAAAAGTTTCATTCGTGCCAACCCCCAAAAATCTAAGAGTCCTTTTTGCTCTTCTTTTATACAATCTATGGTGCCTCTCAATACCTCCATCGTTCCTTCAGCACTGAGAATTAAATTAACCTAAATTGCCAACATAATTTTTGGAGAAAGATTAAACGGAAGTCTTTAGTGCTAGGGAAACGAAATTAAGTAAGAAAAATGAGAAAAAGCTCTTAAAATGTAAACAAATAACACCACAACAGTCAAAATAATTTTTGCAGATCATGTTGGAGCCAGTAGACATTTCTCTCAAGAATAAATTTCGTGCAATAAGTGCTTATGTTATTTATCACCTTGCTAATAGCTGAGTGTAGCCAAAGTTATTTAAATATAACTTTTTCTTCTCCAGGTAAAACATGATTTGTCCTTGGATCAACATGTTGTCAAGAATCCCTTCTATGAGAAGCAGTTTTCATTCGACTATGCCTATTGGTCAGTTTCTGAAAATGATCCACACTACACACGACAGGATCAGGTTTGTTTACAAGATTTCATCAAAAAGTATTATGGGAATTAATGATGATTGAAAGGGGAAGCGAGCTCCAGCAGCTTTTAGTGTAGACTTTATTGTAATTTGATTCATGACTAAGGGAAATAAGTCATTTTAAATTTCTGATTCCGCTAACGGTATTGCTAATAAAACTTCAATTTTCAGTATAATTTTTGTCTTAGCATCCATCCACTACCAAACCCCCAATGATATCCTGTTGTCTCCTTGTTCATGGTGGAATATCTTGAATCCCTCACCGGAAATGTATTTTAATCGTCTCTGGTTTTATAAGACAATTTTGTTCTGCAAAAATCGCGAAATTTTGAAATTGCACATTAACTTTCCAGAAACCAAACTTTGATTAGGATTACATTGAGTTTTTTTGTCAAAAATAGAGAGCACTTGAACCCACGTTTGACATCCAATTGTTTACTTAGTATGTACCAGGTTTTTCATGATACATAATCTTGGATGTCTCAAAACATTGATTTATCAATCAAAAACAGAAAAATATTTTTATTTGCATTATTTACGTCAAAAATCTCTACTTTTCAAGCAAAGAAAATTTGTTAGTTCTATTCTTGATGCACCAAGTGAAGCATGAATCTCTTAGGTGCATACTGTCAACTCTTCAGCATTCTTTAAAAACTCGATGTTAAAGAAGAATTCCCTAATACTGTTTGCTTCTATCTAATAGATTTACAGAGACTTGGGAGAAGATGTTGTCCAGTCAGCTTTGCTTGGTTACAATGCCTGCATCTTTGCATACGGACAAACAGGAGCGGGCAAAACCTTCACAATGATGGGCAGTGGAAAGAATACAGGTCTCATTCCGAGGATATCGGAGGTAAAGACAATTTTATTGTTCATCTTTTTTCATATTTCTACCAACTACTAGTGTAACCCTTTAAGACAATGGAAAATTTTTCGGGCCTTTGAATCAGATTACAAGGATGAACTGCCCACAATCGCACTCTTTACTTCAGTTTAAGTTTCTTTCTCCAATAATCCAGCTTTAGAATACCCTTCTTTTCGTCACTCAGGACATTTTAGTTCCTAAAGCCTTTTTGCAATTAAATACTTTTAAAGATCCCTCTAATAATCCCTGATCTCAAAAATCCTATGCGAAAATTGTTTCCTTTGACCGTTATTCACTCATTCCCCATAACATTCCCACATTCTAACCCTTTTCCTTGGAATCTTATCTCTTTCTCGCGTTGTTTTGCGATCGTTTTTTAATAAATTCCCCTATCGAAATTTTCACTTTGGACTCAAGGAATTGAAGTTTTTGTTGCTTTTTTTCTTCGCACTGTGCTTTTGATTTCTTTGCTTTGATGTTTTTACCCGTAATATTCCCGACATTCGAAACCCTTTTCCCTTGAACTCAGGTTCCTTCAAATCTTCATTTTCTTTGCACTATCTTCATATTTTTCTTGCCATCGTTTTCCAATTTCAAATTTCCACCGTTGTTTTCGCATATCGTTTTGATGTTTTTCCCCGCAACATTCCAACATTCGAGAACTAGATTTAAAGGTTCTTAGCCTTTAAATCCAATCCATCAAAGCTTTCAAACCCATTCGTCATGTTGTGCCTTTAAATCCAATCCATCAAATCTTTCAAACCTATTCGTCATGTTGTGCCTTAAAATCTCATCCATCAAATCTTTCAAACCCATTCGTCATGTTGTGCCTTTAAATCCAATCCATCAAATCTTTCAAACCCATTCGTCATGTTGTGCCTTAAAATCTCATCCATCAAATCTTTCAAACCCATTCGTCATGTTGTGCCTTTAAATCCAATCCATCAAATCTTTCAAACCCATTCGTCATGTTGTGCCTTAAAATCTCATCCATCAAATCTTTCAAACCCATTCGTCATGTTGTGCCTTTAAATCCAATCCATCAAA